GGTCCTTGGGTCATAGTGCCCAGGCCTGTCTGTCCCCAGGCTGGTCCCATGGTGGCAGAACCAACAGCCTCCCTCCCCAAGCCCCACTCTTGTTTCCAGTCTGCCTGGAGGACATCAGAAGTGGTTTCCAGACGGCCACCTAGAGAGGAGCCCCTGGGTGAGCCCTGGCCTCCCAGGAGACCATGGGTAGTGGGTGATGCTTGACACCCTGACATCTAGCCCTGGGACAGTGCAGACTGAGCTCTGGCCGCGGGGCACCCTGGCTTCGAAAGCCTTCTCCGGTGAGCTCAGCAGCTAGGAAGGAAGGGGTGCGATCACTCTGGGGTGCTCTGGAGTGAGACTCTTCACACTCCCAGGGTCTGTGCCTTCTCCCAGCTCCCAGTCAGCTCACATGGGGGCGGGCTGGGGGAGCGTGGCCTGCCAGCACCGAATTTCCCCTCCGTGCTGGGGCCTAACCTTTTCAGCCCCACTGCCTGGCATGTCAGAGGGCCCTGTGGACAGGGCAGCTCGGTCCTGGAGGCCTCATCCGGCCCCTGTTCCCAGGAACTTGCCCCGTCACAGAGCACCCCACACACAAGCTTAACCCCCTTCTCTTCCCAGCAGAGGGGTCTCAGACACACAGAAACGTGGACACCCAGGAAGGAGGTCCCAGTCCTTCCCCACATCCCAGGATGAACAAAGGGATTTCTCCCAAAGGCCCACTTCCCCACTGTCATCTTATCACACCCAGACTGGGGTGGCCCAGGCAACACTCACAATCCCCAGTCTGTGGCACCATCTCCTTCAGGGTCCCTGGATCTTCACTATGTGTACGCTCATGGGCGAACCCATGAGGTGACACAGGGAATAAGCAACCAGGCCCAAGTCACTCACAGTGTGGGGGGTGCTGGGAAAAGATGCTTCCCCAGGGCCCAGAGCGGGCACAAGACCTCAGGGCCTAGACATAGGTGCAGGCGAGTGGTGGGGTGGGATGGACTCCAGCCAGCTCTGCATCCACAGGTCCGATCCCCCAGGCTGCCCACTCAGACCCCTACACTGTGCATGGACCTTCCCCCCGCCCACCTGCTCCCTCCCTTCCTCCTCCAGGAAACAAGCAGGGTCAGCTCTGGAAGCCCCCAGGGGGCTGCTCCCGACCTAGCAGGCCCAGATGGTACTAGGGCTCCTGAGCAGGATAAAGAGACTTGCCCCAGCAGGCACAGGGCCCAGAGCGGGGGCCAGCTGCATAGTCCAGCCAGCAACCCTGCCAGGCCCCACTCCCTGAGGCATCTGAAAATGTCCTGTCCCTGCTGCCCGGCTCCCAGGCTCTCTCCTCAGTGATGCCCCTCCACCCTTCCCTGCATTTGGGCCTGTGCCCCCATGCCCGCCCCCTCTCCAGTGCCCCCAGCGTGGACTGCTATTTACTGAGGGAGGTGTATGAAATTCTCCTGCAACAATGGCAGCTTTGTCTCTCTCCTTGTGGTGGTTTCGTTTTTGCTTTGGTTATTCTGAGGCCATATTATTAGTTGCATACAAATTTAAAATTCTTTTGTGTTCTTGATGGATTGAATCTACTATCATGAAATAACCTAGCATTTCTGTATTCTCATGTCTTAAATGTTTCTGTTCTAAAATAGCATATGATAAATTCTTTTTTTAAAAAAAAGATTTTGTTTATTTTTTGACAGAGAGGGACGCAGCGAGAGAGGGAGCACAAGTGGGGGGAGTGGGAGAGGGAGAAGCAGGCTTCCCGCTGAGCAGGGAGCCCGATGTGGGGCTTGATCCCAGAACCTTGGGATCACGACCTGAGCCGAAGGCAGACGCTTAACGACTGAGCCACCCAGGTGCCCCAGCATATGATAAATTCTTTAAAAACTCCTGTCTGACCAGCTTTTTCTTTTAAGACGTGAATTTAATTAACTTTATTTAATGTAATCATATATTGGGGTTTCAACGTACCATCTTATTTTGTGCTTTTTATTTTTCCCACCTGTTCTCACCTTCTTTTTTTTTTTTTTAAAGATTTTATTTATTTATCTGACAGAGAGACAGCGAGAGAAGGAACACAAGCAGGGGGAGTGGGAGAGGGAGAACCAGGCTTCCCGCCGAGCAGGGAGCCCGATGCGGGGCTCGATCCCAGGACCCCGGGATCAGGACCTGAGCCGAAAGCAGACGCTTAACGACTGAGCCACCCAGGCGCCCTGTTCTCACCTTCTTGACACTTCTTTTGGATTATTTTTTCATCAATTCATTATCTCATTTCTATTAATGTAGGGTATTTTGTGTGTGTGTACATATATGTGTATGTGTGTATGGATGTTTATATGTGTGTATATACGTACATATATATTCTTTCGTGGTTACAGCCAACATTACAGTGCACAGCTTTAGTTTGACAAAGTCACAGAGGTACTTTTCCCTCCTTCCAAACAATGCCATTTTCGTCATGTTTTAGAATTCATACATTTAACCCCCTAAACATGACTGCTGTTGTTTTATGTGGCCAAGATTGAGTTTCAAGTGATCCACCCGCTTGCTGCCTTCTGTGCTCTTGGCTCCCACTGGAACTCAGGCCTCGGACCTGGAACACTTTATTCTCTCTTGGAGTACTTCCTTTAGGGTTTTCTTTATGGAACATCTTTTTTTTTTTTAAGATTTTGTTTATTCATTTGAGAAGAGAGAGAAAGAGAGCACAAGCTGTGGGGGAGGAACAGAGGAGAAGCAGACTCCCCGCTGAGCAGGGAGTCTGATGCAAGGCTTGATTCCACGATTCCACGACCCTGGGATCATGACCCGAGCTGAATCCAAGAGTCGGCACTTGACCAACCGAGCCACCCAGGAGCCCCATTTATGGAGCATCTCTTGGTAACATATTCTCTCTGTTCTGTCAGAACCACTCCAGGCTGGAGGCTTTACCTGCAGTGGGGCAGTGTGGGCCAAGGAGTGAATGGGGGCGCCTGGGCGGCTCAGTCAGTTGAGTGTCTGACTTTGATCTCAGCTCAGGTCTTGATCTCGGGGTTGTGAGTTCAAGCCCCATGTTGCGCTCTGTGCTGAGCCTGCTAAAAAAAAAAAAAAAAGTGGATGCAGGCGTCCCTTGACCTGAGAGTGACCTGGGGCGGGGTGGCCCCGGGCCTGTGTGAGAGACGAGAGGCTACATGCTGTGCAATCCCAAATCAGGCCAAACTCCTCCACGGAGATGGAATTCCATCTGTGGCTGCCGGGGCAGAGGGTGGTGAGGACCAGTTGTGAATGGTCACCAGTGAGCTCTCTGGGATGATGGAATGTTCTGCATCTGGACTGAGTTGTGTTTACACAGGTGTCTACATTTATCCCAACTCATCAAAGCAGGCAATGAAATTGTGTCCATTTTAGTGCATGTCAAATTAAGCTCATATTTTATTTTTATTTTTTTAAAGATTATTTATTTGGGAGAGAGAGTACACACTGAGGGGGAGGAACAGAGGGAGAAGCAGACTCCCCACTGAGCAGGGAGCCCGACATGGGACTCGATCCCAGGACCCCGAGACCACGACCTGAGCTGAAGGCAGACACTTCACCAAATGAGCCACCCAGGCGCCCCCTAAGTTCATATTTTAGAAATAAAGACTAAATAAGGACTTTCCAGACAAATGAAACCCAAAAGAATCAATCACCAATGGATCTGCAATTAAACAAAGATATGAAAGGACGCCTTCAGCCAGAAGGAAAACGCTGCTGATGGGAGCCGGACGGTAAAGGAGGGATGACAGAGCAGAGCAAAGGCCCTGAGGACCGCGGCCTTGATCACCCTCAATACGTCTTGCAGGGTGTAAAACATAGTTAGAATTAAAATACATGACAAAAATAGAACAAAATCTCAGAGGGCATAAGGGACGCCTGGGTAGCTCAGTGGGTTAAGCGTCTGCCTTCGGCTCAGGTCAGGATTCCGGGGTCCTGGGATCGAGTCCCACGTCGGGCTCCCGGGTCGGCGGGGAGCCTGCTTCTCCCTCTTCCACTCCCCTGCTTGTGCTCTCTCTCTCTCTCTGGCAAGTGAATAAATAAAATCTTCTTTTTTTTTTTTAAGATTTTATTTATTTATTTGAGAGAGAGAATGAGACAGAGAGCATGAGAGAGGGGAGGGTCAGAGGGAGAAGCAGACTCCCCACTGAGCAGGGAGCCCGATGTGGGACTCGATCTCGGTACTCGAGGATCATGACCTGAGCCAAAGGCAGCCGCCCAACTGACTGAGCCACCCAGGCGTCCCGAATAAATAAAATCTTAAAAAAAACTCAGAGGGTATAAATGAGAACTAAAGTGTTGTAAATAATTACATTGCCCAGAAGATGGTGAACATGCTTATTTATATTCGACATTAATAACTCAAGGATGACCTTGTAACCTCCAGGCTAACACAAAAAGAACAGTACAAAGTTAAGAAAGCAAGGTTTGAGGGGCATCTGGGTGGCTCAGTTGGTTAAGTGTCCGACTCTGGATTTTGGCTCGGGTCATGATCTCAGGGTCATGAGACGGAGCCCCGTGTCGGGCTCTGTGCTGGGCGTGGAGCCTGCTTGAGATTCTCCCTCTCCCTCTGCCTCTGTCCTTCTCCCCTCTCTAAAAAAAAAGGTCTTGAAGAGAGATCTGAACACTCATGTTCACAGCATTATTCACAATAGCCAAGGGGTGGAAGCAGCCCCAGCGTCTACTGACAGGTGAATGGATAAACAAGACGTGGTCCGTCCACACCATGGATCATTATTCAGCCTTGAAAAGGAAGGAATCGCGACACCTGCTACAACGTGGATGAAGCTGGAGGATGTGGTACTGAGCGAGATCAGCCCGGCACAGAAAGACCAATTCTGTATGAGTGGAAACTCTCAGGAGGCCGGAGGAGTCGGACCCACAGACTCGGGGGTGGGGGCTGGGAACAGGGTTTGACGGAACAGAGTCTAGCCTGGGAAGATGACCACGTTCTGGGCACGGACGGAGGGGACAGCTGCACAGCAGTGTGAATGTGCTTGATGCCATAGAAGTGGTTACTTAAAGACTTTTTTTTTTTTTTTTTAAGATTTTATTTATTTATGTGACAGAGACACAGCGAGAGAGGGAACACAAGCAGGGGGAGCGGGAGAAGGAGAAGCAGGGGGAGTGGGAGAGGGAAAAGCAGGGGGAGTGGGAGGGGGAGAAGCAGGGGGAGCGGGAGAGGGAGAAGCAGGCTTCCCGCCGAGCAGGGAGCCCGATGCGGGGCTCGATCCCGGGACCCCAGGACGATGACCTGAGCCGAAGGCAGATGCTTAACCACTGAGCCACCCAGGCACCCCTTTAAAGACGTTTTTAAAAACTCAGCAAAGTAATATTTACAAGTTAATTAAGAGAGAAAATGATGTAATAAGGAAATTAGTCCAACAGGTGGGGCAAGAGCACCTGTCGTCAGACAAAGGGACCCAGCTCGCCTCTGGTGGCCCCGTGGGCGCCCGGCCTCTCCCTTGCCCAGGCTGGTCCCACGGTGGCCTGAGCCCAGAGCTGCTCTATCCTGGAGCTCTCCAGCTGTCCCTCCTGCCCCTGCTGCCCTGGCTCGTCCCCACCACACACGGTCAAGCCCCCAGCCGACTCAGGTGCAGACATGGGGCCCCAAAGGTCCCTTGGCCTTGCCGGCCGTCCCTCCCAGGGGGCCACTCTCCCTGGAATGGACCCCCAGAGGCTGGGGAGGGCTCCCCTGAAGCAGGCTGGTGTCTCAGTCCACCCAGACACAGTCCTGTCCTGTCCATCTTGCTGCCCTCAGCACCACAGCAGCTGGGTTGCAAACAGAGCGATACTGGCCTACAAGGTCCCGGACAGGGTGTCCCCTCAAACACCACAGCCACGGCTCAGGCTGGACTCAAGGATGTCCACCCGGCCCCGACGAACTGCGTTAGAATCCTGCCTCGGCGGGGGGGGGACCAATCCGTGGCCCTCACCCATGCCTACTCTGCCTGTCACAGGGCTGTGGCCCTCCCTGACCTGCAGGGGGGGCCTGGGTGAGAGGAATGGCAGACTGAGCCTCCAGGACGGTTGGGACACAAGCGGGGCACGACCTTGGAGGTGGTCTTCTGACATCAGGTGCCAGCGCCTGCCCGGGGGCCCGACGAGGCAGGGGACCCGGGGCAGCTGGAGAATGTCCAAGGCTCAGCTGGACCCACTTGTGCCCTGGGCTCCAGGGTCCAAGGCTTCTCCATTTTATAGGGTTTCTGCTTGTCTAGGCCCGAACGGGGAGGTTCCTGCGGCACTGACCATTCCTAGGGACAGGCCAGTAACCGTGCCGCCCGAACATGGGGACGGACGTCCAGACGGACGGCACACCTGCTCTCACCAGGCTCAGGGAGAAGCTGCGGGGGGCCGGTGGGGCGGCAAGGGGTATCCTGGGCCGCCAGCCAGTGGGCAGCCGTGGCAACGCTGAGCCGGGCAGTGGCACTGACCCTGCAGAGAGCTATGTCCAGCCGCGGGGCCTGCTGGGACCCCCAGCCCCTCAGGAGGGGGACAGGGCCTGGACAAGGCCGGGGGTGGCCGCGGGCATCCTCCAGGGTCCTGAGTCCTGCGTGTCACTGAGGAATGGGGACACCCCAGGGACTCGGGTCCCCAGGCAGGGCCGAGAGAATTCCTGGAGGTCCTGAGTCGCTCAAAATCACGACCTGCCCTTTAGACTAGTAAACAAGGCAGCTTCTGTCCTTTCGTGGAAGTGGAGGCTAGGGTCACGTGCAGGGGGCTCAGTTTCCCTGCCTGTTCCTCTCCGCCCAGCCCTGGCTCCTTCCCCTCAGGGCCTGAGGCCCCGGCCCAGCCCGCCCCAGCCATCCTTGGTCAGCTCTCTGCATGCAGCTGGGCTCAGGTGGAGCACCTGCCCCGTGGGGCCAGCAAAGGTGCGCCGTGACAAGGGACACCGGCGGGAAGGGCTATGGCTGGAGAAGGGCCAAAGGAGCCTCTCCACCAGGGCGCTAGGGCAGCTTGCTACCTGATCCCCAGATCCCCAGATCTCTGCGGCCCCGGGTAGATGCAGCTCACCACCATCTGCGGCCTGGAAGGCTCTCCTGGGATGCAGCTTTGTGCTCCCAGGACCAGGGGAAGCCTGAGGCGGCCCATCGATGTCACTGTCACAGTACAGGGCTTTGTGTGACTTTGGTGGGCAAGGCTGTGACGAATGCATGACCCAGGCCATGGGGAGTCTTTGGGGAAGGGCCCCTCCCACCACCCAGGGCTGAAGCTGACAGGCCAGGTGAGTGCCAGAGGGACAAATGGCTCCCCCGAGCCATGGACAGCCCACCTGCTTTCATCCCCTTCTGCTGACCCTGCCCTGAGGGAGGAACAGGCCCAGATTGGGGGGGCCCAGGGTCCCGAGGGAGGGACAGGCCCAGACTGGGGGGCCCAGGGCCCTGAGGGAGGGACAGGCCCAGATTGGGGGGGTCCACTCAGGCCAAAGAAATGCAATCTGGCACACAGCAAGAGGTCTCTCTAGCTGTTCTTTGATCTCTGGTGGGGCCAGCTTCCCGGCAGGCCCTGGGCTTGGAGATCCCTGAGGGCCAGGATGGGGGGAGACGGGTCCTGTCTGGGGCAGGGCAGCTGCCCTGCACAAGGAGGTGTGCAGACGGCTGGGATCCCAGGTTGTGGCTCTCCGTACCTGAAGAGTCCCTAAACCCAGTGGGGGTCAGGCCTCGGAAGCTTGTCCCCCACCACCCCCCCACACGGCAGGAAGCCAAACCTGTCTCCCCCTACCCTGCCCTCCAGGCTGGGGCATCTGCATCTAGGCCTGCTCCTGTTCTGGGGCCCCAGCTGCACCCCCATGGCAGCTCCAGGGCTCTGGGGGGTGGGGAGGTGGAGCTGGGGGCTGAGTGGGCAGGAGGGAGGGGTCTTGTCCTGGGACCCACAAGGACCTGCAAACACCCCCACACACACTCACAGACACACCCCGGGAGGCCGGAGGGTGAGCACAGGCCTGGAGGGCTGGGGGTGGGCATGAGTGTGTGCAGAGGGTCCTCCCCCACTTCGTGCCTCCCCTACCACCCCAAGGTCATGATGGCTCCTACTCCTGGATCCCGACACAGGATTTATTCCATGCTTAGAGCAGAGGCCTTGGCTGGGGAGGAGCTGCGTTCATCTTCAGCAGGTACCCAGATGGGGTGACCGATCTGATGGGGGAGACAGTCTCAGATGGAGGCCGGAGCAGAGAATGGGGATAGAGCCGGGGAGGAGGCCAGAGGCATGAGAGCTCCAGGGAGGGGAGAGGGGTAGGGGACGGAGGGAGAAGGGGTCCTGCAGCGAGGTATAGTGGGCGGGGAAGGTGCTGGGGCCCGGGAGGCCAGCCAGGGACTGAGGGACACGCTCTCCAGGGCGCTGCCCTGCCCCCACCCGGCCCCCAGACTCGGTGCACATGCGCAGCCAAGCACTCCTGTGCTCATGCTTGTGAATGCTTCTCCCTGGGGGCACACATGTGCATGCACGGCTGTGTAAGCGGGGGCGTGTGCCCGCACGAGCGCTGCGTGTCCGCATGTGTGCACATGGTTTATGGACGCCGCCATGCGTACATGTGGTCATACATGTGTAAAGAGCCAGACATGGGAAATGTTCCTGGAATGAGAGGAGGTGGCCCAGGACGGGGGGAACCCAGGTGGGGGCAGGAGGTGGCCCGGGACGGGGGGACCCGGGTGGGGGCAGGAGGTGGCCCGGGACGGGGGGACCCGGGTGGGGGCAGGAGGTGGCCCGGGATGGGGGGACCCGGGTGGGGGCAGGAGGTGGCCCGGGACGGGGGGGACCAGGTGGGGGCAGAGACCAAGGAGTTATGAGGATCCACCCTTTGGGCTCAGGCTGAACCCTCTGGGGTTGCCAGGACCCCACAGGTAGACCCTGCATGCAGGCCACGTTCCCCTGCGGGCTCCCATAGGGCTTTCGAGGCCCATGGGCGGGCCCCGTGCTGGGTGCAGGCCCCTGCCACGGCCTGGGGGCCCGTTACCTGTCAGGTCTGGGAAGACGATGTTGTTATCCGACAGGCCCAGAGCTCTGACCAGGCAGACAAATTTGTCCAGCACCTGGGTCTGGATCATCCACATCCTGCCTGGGGCCCAATGAACACAGCATGGCCCTTAGCCACGGAGGGTGAGTGGGCAGTGCTGGGCACCCTGCCCTCCCTCCCCCTCCTGCTCCCACCAGCTCGACCATGGCCTCTGGGCTGGGGACTCACATAGCAGGTTGACCCTGAGAATACTCTGGCCACCTGACTGTCTTCGGAAGAGCATCAGCGCGAACTTGCTGTAGTCCGTGTCGTACACCTGGACCTCCTCGGGCTCTGCCCCGGACACAAGGGTGGCACCGCCGCAGCGTGAGGGCTGTTCCCCCCCGGCGCCCTGCGCAGGCTGCCCCCCGCCTCCCGCCGGTCACCTTCTCACCCTCTCTGCTGTCCACCCAGAATCTCCCAGGCCACGCCGCCGGAACCAGCACATAAGACCAGGTGACGCAGTGGTGGCCCCTGTGGGAGAGAAGGTTCTGGAACCTGGCCAGACCTCGGGTTTCCTTCTCTGTCTCAGGGGCTGGCCCCGAAGTGCCCCCCCGCCCCCGAGAGAGAGAGAATTCAGCTGTTTGTTCGGAGGAGGCGTCTGTCAGAAGCCAGGGGCACGGCCCAGCACACGGGAGGCTTTGCTGCCCTCCCCCGGGGAGCGGTGTCCCTCCTGGAGGAATGAGGCAGGAGCTCTCCGCCATCTGTGCGCATCCCCTTGAAGGCCCTGGCCAGCCCACCCACTGGCTGCTCCTCGTCGCCTGGACTAGCACCTCCAAAGTGTGTGTATGTGAGATGCTGAGAAACAGGCGTTTCTGGCCACAGAGTCCCCTCTGGAGTCTTGAGTGGGCCCAGCTGGGCATGGTGGCCGGTGCCCCCAGCCAGCAGCCCTGGACTTCGCTGAGCCAGGCCAGATGGGGAGAAGTGGGGGCCGTGGGCGGCTGCTGCTGGGCCGGGCCTGGAAGCCCCCCCGGCTCAGGCCCCAGGGAGCCCTCCCGCAGTGCAGGGGCCTCTCCAGGTGGGTGCACTTGTTTTGAGAAGCAACCAAGTGCAGTCTGGCCTGCAGGTGGGGGAGAGGTGAGGCCGCCCAGAAGGCTTCTTGGTCCAGCTGCATTGGCACTGGGTTCTCTGTCCCCCACTCGCCCCATTAATCAACCTCCGGCCGGAGCCAGGCCAGTCAGATGCTCCCAGGAATCTGAGACACTCCAAAGGCGGGTTCTGGGGTGGCTGAACCCATGCAGGTGGCTTTGATGGTGCTCGCTGAGGCTGGGGCAGGGGCCAGTGGAGACCCTCAGGGGGAGGCTCTCAGCTTCTAGGATCTACTCCTGGTCGGCATGATAAACCCGCCTTGCTTAAGGTCCCTATTTTATATTACCTGGAGCCAAAGAGTCCTAACCAGAGGTTCCCAGGCCCTCTCTCCCCCACAGCCAGGCAGGGGGGCAAGGAAGGCTCCAGGCCTGCTGGAGACGTGGTAAGGGTAAAGAAGCCCTCATGGCATCGGTGTCCCCCAAAGGGGGGACGGCACCACCCTCACCTCATTCCAGGGGGTTAGCCATCAAGACTCCCAACTTCTTCCCATCCAGGCGGACCAACCAGAGCACCTGTCACCCTGGATGCAGCAACGGGTCCAACAGGATCACGTGACTCAAGGAAAGCCGGTCAGAGGCCATTGCCAGGCTGACCAGGATGCTCTCTCTTTTCTGGAATTGGAACCCTGAGAAGGACATCAGCCCTAGGCTAATGTTTTATCCCTGCGAAGTGAGAACTTTCTGGAACAGAGGTCTGGGGCAGACAGAGATGAGAGAGGGAGAGGGAAGGGGTGATGGGGCCCTGATCACACTGTTTGAGCTCCTGGATCCAGCTGTACCTGAAATCCATAAGCCCCCAAAGCTCTTCTGAGTCCGTGATCCAGTGTGTGCCCCTCTTTTGTGTGTGCTCCCAGAGCGGGCTTAGGTCACCAGCAGCCTGTGCTGAACTTTGAATTAGGAGGAGGGCCCTGGGAGAACCGGGGCACTGGGGCCCATGCTGGACCTGAGCCATGAAGCCATTAGCTTCTAGGGTTACAGGCCAGGGATCCTCACTCACCGGGTCATGGCATATGACACTTCAAGGCGACTGTTTTCATTTTGCTCGAACGTTGCAATGAATGGGTTCAACAGGAACCTGTCCGTCTTCCTGTGGGTGCTGCCCGCTAAGCCGACAACAAACCATTCCCCCTGGAACTGTGGGAACCTGAGGTAGGCAGAGCCCAGGACAGCCCCAAGGGCCCTCACCAGGCAGTGGCTCCCAGCCTGAGCCTGCACCGATGACGCTGGCAGGAGCCGGGGGGCTGCCCTGGGCCTGGCAGGGCCAGGGTGACCTTGCCCAGTGGCTGGCCTTTGTGAGCTTCAGTTGACAGAGATGTTCCCACCGCACGGGGACTGGCAGGGGTTACTGCTGACCCAGGACGGCCTGTCCAGAGTCCTTTTCTGATGGACGTCAGGACTCTCTCTCTGGGGGGATCTGAGACCAGGCTGGCCAGGCTGGGCTCCCTGGGTGGTGCCTCCCCCCGGCCACCTTGGCCCTCCTTTCTCCCTGCACTTGGACCCTGGCTGACTTTCTCCCCCGCCCTCCAAGCCCCCAGACCTGGTCTTCTTGGAAGCTCTGTAACACGGAGGTAATGCCTGGCGGGGTGTTTGGGGTCTGGCCCTTCAGGCCTTTCAGCAGGGTGAGCACCACCCACAGGGCACAGCAAGGCCCCATCCCAGTAGGGACGGAGAGAAAGCAAGTGGCCATGTCACTGCTGACTCAGATACTCCCCGCTTTATGGGCCCACCTGCAGGTGTCCCTCCCCAGGGGTGTGCCCCTTTCACCTTCCTCCTCAGAACTGGCAGAAGAGGTGGGCCCGGAGGAGGGCTTGGAGGTGGACTGGGCAGGGGCAGGGCCCTCTTGAGATCCTGCCCACCAAAGATGGGGGCATCTGGGTCTCACCCCGGGAAGGGAGACGGGCAGAAAATGGAGGGGCTGGGGGTGCTTGCTGGGCCCACTAGCTCCCAGGGATGTCTCTGCACCTTGCTTCCTGAGTCCTGAGAGCCCCAGCTCCACCCCTCTTTGGGACCCCTTCCCAGTGCCCCATGCCAGTGGCGGTGGCCAGGGGCCTGAGGTGTCTCCCCGGCCGAGCCCTACCCCAATAGCTTTCCTGCCACCAGGTGGAGGGCAGAATGTTCCATCCCACACAGGGAGCTTAACCTTTTCTTAGTCCCGAAGGTCAGGGGCACAGCGTTCTTGCAGAACACCGAGTGCAAAGCCCAGGCCCGCCACCCCCGCACTGTTCCCCACGTCCCTAAACCCAAAGCGTGGAGCAAGAGCAGGGCCAAGGGGCCCTATCGTCACGAAGGTGCAGGGGTCGCGGCCAGTCAGAGTGAGGCCAGACAAGGGGGTGGTGGGGCAGGCAGCCAGAGCACCCAGATCAGAATGACTGAGGGGTGATTACAGGGGCCCCTTTGCAGAGGGAGGGCAGGGGGCAGGCAGCCCAGCCTAGGGGGTGGGGCACCCACACACTGGGCCTGGGGACAGGAGGGCCCAGGCTCTGGGCATGTAGCCCACCCCGCCACCCCCCGAGAAACGGCCTGGTAGTCAAATGCGTAGGTGCTGGGCTCTAGGAAACATCCTGGAAGGATATGTACCTGACCTATGAGCCCCCTGTCCCGGCCACCTCCTGCCCCACCTGGGTCCCCATGTCCCAGGCCACCTCCTGCCCCACCTGGGTCCCCATGTCCCAGGCCACCTCCTTCCCCACCTGGGTCCCCCTGTCCCAGGCACCTCCTGCCCCACCTGGGTCCCCCTGTGTCCTGAGCCACCTCTTCCTCACATCCAGGTCCGCCTGCCCTGGGCCACCTCCTGCCCCTCCCCAGGTCCCCATGTCCTGGGTCATCCCCCCCCCCACTGCACGGGGTCCCCCTTCCCTCCCCCCAGGTCTCCATATCCTGGGCCATCTCCTTCCCTTCCCCACCCTGGCCTCCAGCAACCTGTCCTGAGGAGGGGCCCTAACCGGGACACTCAGAAAGCACCCGTCCCCCGACAAGGAGCCTCAGGGCTTGGCTCCGTCCCAGCCCCCACTCTGCGTGGAAGCGCATGGGCCCTGGTCCTTCCGCCTCCGGGAGCGTTTCCCATTGCCAGGTGGACCATCGAGGCCTCTCTGGGGGGCTGCAGGCCCCAGGACAGGGGAGGGTCCGGGGTCGGGAGGGCCACCACCATCTCCCCGAGAACCGAGCCCGCAGGGCAGCGCCCCGATCTCTTGAGCTCGCGGTGCCCGCCGCTCGACAGGCCCTACTACTTGAGGACACTCCGGCCCCCACAAGAAGAGAGGTTGCAGAGAGCCGTTCGTTTCCCCGAACTTCCCAGAGGAGCCATCACTCTCCACCAGAAGCTGCGGTGGCAGCTCCGACCGCAGACGCTGCGAACGCCTGGCCTCCCCCTCCCACCCCGCGGGGCCCAAGCTGCCCCTGGCGACCCGACCCAATCCAAGCCCACTCAAAACCTGAAAGCGCCCCCTTTGCGCCTGCGCTCTGGGGAGACGGGGGCGGGGCAGAGCAGGGACACCACCCCCTCCCGACCTAGGCGGGGACGCAGCTCCGGGCGCCTCTGGCGGCGCTTAGTGACTCTGGCGCCCCCTACAGCCCGCCAGGCGGCTCGCAGGCTGGGCGGCGGATTGAGGAGCCGCGCTCCTCACGCCCGGGGCCGCGGCAGGCGTGGCTCCTCCCACCGCCAACGCGATTGGTCGAGGGCGGGCACGTGACGCTGGCGGCGCGCTTGGGCCCGGTGTGCGAAGAGCGCCGGAGTCCGGGCCTCGGGCCGGCCGCGGCGCTCGCGTCTCCCCAGAAGGGCGGCAGGGTCCGCGGGTACCGCCGGTCGGGGTGGCTGCGGGGAGGGCCAGGGCGCAGGCTGGACCCTCCCGGGAGCCGGGCCTGGCCCTCCCCGCAGCCCTTTCCCCCCCGGCTGCCCGGTGTCCCCCCCCCCCCCGGCCTCTGCAGGACCCTCTGCCCGCTCGCTCCCTCTCTTCCACCCAGACAGCGACAGCAGGAGCCCCCCCCCGCCCTCCGCGCAGCTCCTCCCCAGGTCTTTCCTCTCGCCCCAAAGCTCGGACGCCGTGCTCTGGGCTGGCTCCTCCCGACGGTGGGCAGGGACCAGCTGGCACCGGGAGGCGAGGGGAGGAGGAAGGCAGGCTGGATTCAGGGATCCCCGCGGGGCCGTCCCAGCCGCTGAAGCCCCCAGCTCGCGGGGGGGGGGGGGCGCGAGGAGGGGGGAGCAGCGCTGTCAGGAGCAGGACGTGCGGAGCGACCCGGTGTGAAGGCCCTGCCACGAGCCGCAGGGAGCTGGTGGGTCCCCTCCACGGCGGGCTATGTCCAGCCCCGTCCCCCAGGCAGGGGTCCTGGCCCACCTGTCCATTGAGGGGCTGTGTGGGCAGGGAGGGCGGGCACCCCGCAAGAAGGGCCAACGTCGTACCTGCCTGTGGGACCACCGGCGCTGGGGGCCTGGGACGCAGCACCCTCGCATCCTGGCAAGGCCCGTGGGCTCCCAGGACAGTGCTCCTCTGGCCTTCCCTGGGGGCCCCCAACCGCCACTGCCAATTAGAGGTAAGTTTGTATACATTTTTAAAAGGTATTTTTCTTGGGGCGCCTGGGTGGCTCAGTTGGCTAGGTTTCGGCTGAGATCATGATCTCAGGGTTGTGGGATTGACCCTGCCTTGGGATCCGTGCTGGGTGTGGAGCCTGCTTAAGATCCTCTCTCTGACCCTCTGCCCCCCAACCCTCGCTCTCTCGAGCTCCCTCTCTCAAATAAAATAATATTTTTTTCCTTCTAAAGTATTAAAAATCACCTATTACAGTTAAAAGGCAAAATACAAATTATAATTAACATCTTTACCTAAAAACAGTTCACTTAGAACTACAGTTATTTCACCTAGTTTGTGACAATGAGAGTTCAATAAATATTTTTGTGGAAATAAAATGCATGACAGCTGCCCCCCCCCCCCAGACCTGCTGTTGGGGACCCAGAGGGACAGGCCTGGGCTGCTGTGGGGTCTCAGCCCCGTGGTCACGTGGGAGGGTCTCTGGTGCCGCCCTTTGGACCTGCAGTCCTTCCAGAAGCATCCTTCCCCGGAATCCCTGAGAGGGGGATATGTTTGAACTCTCCCACACCCCAGAGCAGAGGCCCTCATTTTCTATTTGGGGGCTGTGGGGCCAGGCATGCAGGGGGCTCTCTGAGCTACGGCCCCACTTGATACAAGTGTGCGGAGACTCCAGCAGGTGACCAGTGGGTCTCTGGGTCGTAGGGCCCATGGGGAGGCTACAGTTTTCTTTGCCCTTCTCCTTCAAAGCCCTGGGGGCCAAGGCCCCCTGCCTTCCCCTCTTCTCCTCAGCCCTATATGTCTGCCTTTCTGGGAGGCCAGTTCCAAGGGACATAGGGTGGGCACTGCCCAGTCTGTGGGGTCGGGCATGGTCCCCACCCACTGGAGACATTGGAGCCCATACAAGGCTGCTGGCTCTTCCTAGCAACCACCCACCCCAGTCCTCCTGGTCTGGGCTGAGCCAGTCGGCCAAGTGGACATGCAGCAGTGGGACCAGATAGTGGTCCCTACAGCTCACCTGGGATGGCCTGGTGCTCACCCCTACTCCCTGGCAGCCCAGGGAGGAAATGGGGGCTGGTGGGGGTCCAGCTCCCAGGTGCCCCCTCAGCCTCACCAGCAGTCAGTGGTGAGCTCTGGACCTCGAGATTCCAGGAACAGGGAGCCGCCCCACCGGGGTGCCCAGGATTGAGAAACGCTCATCAGATGGATGCCCAGGGCCCCATGACAGCGTGGCTTGGGGCCAGTTCCAGGCCCAGCTTTGGCCAAGCTAATGCACATTTCCCTGAATGGACCTTCCAGCTCTAGTCTGGACCCAGCCTAGGGCTGCCATTTGCCCTCAGATCCTCCCCAAGTTCTCCTGAAGGGAGGCCACCCCCCAACCCCCGTCCTGGTTCCCAAGGGGACAGTGGGAGGGCTGAAGGTGAGGCGTGCACATTTCTCCAGGATGGGCAAGTGTGTGCCAGGCATGTTTGTCCAGAAGCACCCCAGGGTGCTGACTCACAGCCATGTGGGCCTGGATCTTGCCCAGCAAGGCTTGGGGAGGCCGAGGAGGGGAGTAAAGGGAGAAAGCTGGCCCCCCACACCGCCCCGGAGCAGGGCGCCTCCAGGCCCCTCAGGGCACCGGGTGGGCATGTATGGGGGCACAGTATGTGCCCCAAGTCATCAGAGCTGTTGAAATTGGCCAGTGCCCTCCAGCAAATGGAGGAGATGGCTTAACAAATGGGGAGTGGGGGGTGTTGGCAGGATCTGAAGAATGTTCTCACCAGCAGGGGCCGAGCGGAGTCCAGGCCCTGCCCACTGGGCTCCTGGTGCAGGGTGAGGGCCACGGCTCCCTCCCCTAGCCCCCAGGGCAGCTGTCCACCCTGTGGGACCCCCCTGGGCAGACCCTGACCTTGGAGGGGAGTGCTGCATGTTGGGTGACTCAAAATTGTTTCAGGTGCCCTTTGCCCTCTTGGAGTAGCTCTGTTTCCTCCAGGGTCAGTCTCCCTGTCCTGATTCTTCTCTTGCAGTGATTTCCCCAGTGTCTGGGACCCCCGGTGAGGGTCAGGCAGGTCGGCCAGGCCCCAGGCTGTGGGAAGCATGTGCAGTCTACCCTGGGGAGCAGTGGGGATCCCCCAGAGGCGGACCTTCCCCAGCAGTCCACATCTCCCCAGCAGGCTGGCATCACTTGTCCCTCCAGGCAGCCATTGCCCTGGGGGGGGACACCGTTACCCCATTTTCAGCCCCTCTCCCCCTGCCTCCATCTCCCATGGGCCTTGGAGTTCCCACATTCCAGAAGGTTCTCTACAGAGAGCAAAGCACACACTCGCCTTCCTCATAGCTGGTAACCTTGGTCAGATCCTGGGTGTGGACTCCCCCACTTGTGCACCAAGCTCCTGTGCTCACCCCACTCCTAGCGCCTGAATTAGGCTGGCCTGCTTCCTCCATTTTGGGATAGTCCCTTCCCCCTCCTCCCTCCCCCTCCCCCCCCCCTCCCCCCCCTCCCCCAGCACACACACACACACACACACACACACCCCTTATTCTCCCTGCCTGGGTAGTCTCGCCATCTACCCCAAGGGGCACCTGGCTGCCTGATGCCAGGACTGGACTCAGCCCCAGCTGGTCAGTCCTGCTCCCAGGCCTGTCCTGTATCCCTTCTGCCCCTGCCAGCCCTCGGGGCAGCCATAGGGACAGCCCAGCCTCCTGTCTTTCTAAGACCGTTGCCAACTCACTGCAGACCCAGGCACCACATCCAGGAACGGGGAGGGGGTCTGCCTGCCCCCTCCCCAGTAGCCTGTCCTGTCCTGCCTCAGGCCAGAGGGCCACTGGGACTCTGGACCCGTGCCTCCCAGGAGGAGCTCAGGGTCAGCAGCAGACCGGAAGAACCTGTGGGGAGGGCTCCTCATCCCTCTAGGAAAGGCCCCCCACCATCTGGGCAGGGGGCAGGCTCCGGTCCTGGGCCTACACACGGCGGCCCAGCAAGGCCAGCAGGGCACGTGTGCTCGCAGACTGGGAGCAGGGAAGGGCGGCTGGGACCACAGTGCAGGGGCCCAACTGAGAAGCCGAGACCGGGGCACAGGGACATCAGGGCAGTGGACGCTTCCAGACCTTTAAAAGAGCCATTTCCACCCTGCCTCTCCGCGGCAGAGGGTTTTGACCAGGGGAGGAGCCCCTTCCCTCTCCAGCCCCCCGGGGGGGAGCAGTCCCACATGCTCATGAGAAGACGGGCTGGCAGAGGCCCCCGTCCGGGCCCAACACAGAAAGGAAGGAGTCAGGGGCCAAGCTGGACAGCGTTTAATGAAGGTAATGCTCCTGAGCTCTGTGGGTGACGGACAGCTTCGGGGCACACACGGGAGAGCGTCCCCCCATGGGGTGGCCCTGACCCCGCACGGCCCCGGGGCTCTGAGTGGGGTAGCAGGTGCCATCCCCTTCAGGGTCTTCACTCCTTCTAAGGTCAGGGCTGCCGCCTGGACTCACCTTCTTGTTTCTGGGGCACAGAGACGAGACTCAGCCGGCGAAGGAGCTGAGGGGTGCCCTCCTCACTGCACCACCCGGCCAGCACTGCCCACTCACCATCTAGGATGTGGAACTGGTCTGTGGCCTCGCAGAAACCTGAAGGCCCAAGCAGGGGTCAGGAGTGGCTGGGGCAGGGCACACGGGGAGGACAAGGCCGGCCACTGGGGGGGGCTTACCATACTTGGGGAAGAACAAGATATGGTCCTCGGTCAGGTTGGCCCTCTGGGTCCCCTGCTCAAATGCACTCAGGGCCGAGTCACTTGCCGGGAACGAGCGGGCTGTGGGGCACACAGGGCTCCTGGGCACGCGGTGAGGGAGCAGGTGGGGCGTGCTGGGCGTAGGGTCTGTGTGTGCTTGTGACACACCCATCCCCTCCCTGTCCCCTCTGTCCCCACACCCGGGTCTATCGGCAGGGGCTCCTCCCCGGACCCCTGCTCAGCTGAGGAGGGTCAGAATGCAGGGAGGGCCCGTGTGTCCCTCCGGGCTCGCCCCACATGGATGGCTCTGAGTGTGTGCAAAGCGTGGGCTCCCGCGTGGACGCACTGTACAGCTTCACCGACAGCCGCCGCTTGTGCTCCAGGTACAGGACGGCGAAGCCCTGGTAGTCTGTCTCCCCGACGACCACGTCCACTGCCCTGCGGGCACCTCGGGCTGGGCAGAGCTGAGTCAGCCGAGGCAGCTTCCGGCCCCTCAGCCCTGCACCCCAGCCCCCGATGCCCTTGCCTCACCTCGGAGCAGGAAGCGGCCGGGGACTCCCGTGTCTGAGTAGAGCTGCCGCACCTGCCAGCAGATGCCATCCCTGGGGGGGGACGGGGGGAGCACAGCAGGCTGAGGGACCCCAACCCAGGCAGGGCCTCACAGGACTCCGGTCCAGGCCACAACAAGGTGGGGGCAGGGGTCTGTATGGGGGACTCACAGCTTCTGGAAGGTGCTGACAGCCATAGCTGCGCCCTGGGCTGCTACACGCAGTAGGGTGGCCTCAGCCCGGTGGCCTTGCTCCTGCAGGAAGCGGCACGAGGAGGCCACGGCCACGAGGAGCCACGTCCCTGCAAACTAGGAGCAGGCCACGTGAGGGCACAAGGGGATGAGGGGCTGCCCGGCCCTGCCCACCCACCTGTCCCCCCTCTACCTGCTGAGCATCGAAGTTGGCCTTCGGCTGGATGGTGCTGATGGGGGACGCTGGCGGAGGGGGTCTCCGAGCCCTCTGGCTCAGGGAGCCCCCAGCCAAGAGCAGAGTCAAGAAGAGTGCAGTCTTGGGGGCCAGCATGGTGGCGGCAGTAACAGGGCTGCGTCTGGGGGATGCAGAGGGCAGGACGGCCAAGTCCTGGGTCAGAGTCCACTGTCCAGTGCCGCCCAGAAGCCTGGCACCGGAAGTAGGCGCCAGCCCACTTCCAGCCCACGAAGTCCCGGTTGGTCCTCCTGCCTTACCAAGCACCCTGCCCCCACGAGGGTCTACCCCCAGCCTCCTGGACTCTGCACCTCCCGGCAGGGCCCTGGCGCCATATCCTGTTTACAAAGTCCGAGTTGACCCCTGGCTCCTTGTCCACGACCCCCTAAACCAAAGGCCCCAGCCGCTGGGAGCGGCGGGGCGGGGTCTCGAGCCCCAAGGTGAGTGAGCCTTGCCCTCAGCCCAGCCCACTGGCCTCGGTGCAAGGCCGCCGCCCCTCCCGGCCGCCGGGGGCGCTGTTGGGAGCGAGCTCGAGTGCGCGCAGGCGCAGCAACAGCCGCGACGGGCTGCCGGGTGCGCGACACTCTGCGGCCATCGATGCCTCCGGGCTCGAGGCGTCAGCCTGGCGGGCTCCATCACAGAGACGCGGCGGCAGGAGCGGCGGGGTGGAAGCGGGTCGGCCGGCCGAGGCTGGGCGCCGGGCAGGGGCAGCACAGCCGGGCGGAGGCGGCCGCGGTGAGTGCGCCCGGCCCCGGGGAAGGTCGTCGTTGGGCCCCGGCCCCCGGCCCCCGGCCCCCGGCCCCCGGCCCCCGATCCCCGGCCCGGAAGAGCGTCGCAAACCGGCCGTGTCCGGTCCCCGGCTCCCTGCCGCCCGCCCCCCCCCGCCCCCCCCCAGCCTCTGGCCCCTCGGCCTCGGCCGCGCCCTCTGCCGATGAATGAGTCGCCGAGGACGCCCCGCCGGGCCCGGGGACCGAGCCGAGGCCCCGCCCCCCGCAGCCCCTCGGAGGGAAGGTGGGAGGGGACGTTGGGCAGCCCCCGCCCCGCCCCCCGCCCGCTGACCGCCTGGCGGGGCTTCCCTAGGCCCCAGGGCCGAGGCCAAGGGCCGGCTGGCGCCCCTGGCGGCGTCTGGGGCAGGCGGGCAGGCGCTCGTCCCGCCGGCCCCAAGCCTCTTCTCGGAAGGACCTCTGTCCCACGCTGACAGCTCTGAAGCCTTGGGCTACAAGGTCAGAGTGACAGGCGTGCGTGGGGGTCACCGGTTTCTCGGGCGCCGAGCAGTCACCAACCCAGGCATCCAGATGTGGCTCTCGGCCCGGGAGCGGGAGGAGGTCAGAGGGGCCACCCCCGCGACCGGGCCTCTTCTGGGCTGAGAGCGCATCTGGGGTCCAGCTCAGGCTGGACCAGGCCGGGAGGTGCCGAGCGCCGTCTGCTGCCCGCCCAAAGCTGCCTGTTCCAGCGCACCCCTGGGACGGGCAGGGGCGCCGGTCAGGAGGATGGGGTCCAGGAGCATGGCTGTCCAGGGGGCTTGGAGAAGCTGTCGGACCCCTAGCCGGGTGGGGGGAGTGCCAGCTGGCCCTCCGCACGCGCTCAGTCCGACGGAAGTGCCAGCTCGGCCAGGGGCCCCTGCCTTGGGGGCAGGGCCCCCCGCCAGTGCACCTGCAACTAAGGGGACCACGTGTGGGTTTCAGGGCTGCCCGGGCAGAATGTCACAATGGACGAGGGGGGCACGCCCCTGCTCCCGGACAGCCTCATCTACCAGATCTTCCTGAGCTTGGGCCCAGCGGACGTGCTGGCTGCCGGTCTGGTGTGTCGCCGGTGGCAGGCCGTGTCCCGGGACGAGTTCCTGTGGAGGGAGCAGTTCTACCGCTACTACCAGGTGGCCCGAGACGTGCCCCGGCACCCAGGTCAGGGCCTGCACGTGGCCCCACAGTCCACCAGGCTGGCTGGGAGGGCGGGAGGCGGGGCCGTTCACATGCTGCCCGCTCAAGCCGCAGCACTGGTCCCCGAGGCACCGAGCGGCCCTCATGCTGATGGGGAGCAACGAGGCCTGGCAGGGAGGCGGGGGTGCCGGGGGCACCCCTGCCGCTGAGGTGACGTCCTCCAGGGGCAGGGCCGGCCCCTCCGCTGTCAGGGTGCTGGCCTCTGTGGGGAAGGAGGCTCAGGGCCCCGGCGGTGACCACCCCCCACCCCTAGCGGCCACGTCCTGGTATGAAGAGTTTCGGCGGCTCTATGACACGGTGCCTTGTGTGGAGGTGCAGACGCTCAAGGAGCACACCGATCAGGTGCTGCATCTCAGCTTCTCCCACTCGGGTTACCAGTTTGCTTCCTGCTCCAAGGATTGCACTGTGAAGGTGAGCCCAGCCCACGGCAGCCGGGGCCGGGGAAGGGGGGTGGCCCTCACTGCTGATGGAGGGAAGCGAGTTCTGCTCCAGAGCCAGGAGCCAGCCACGTGGACCCGCACCCCTCGGGTCAGCGGGCAGCCAGGGGCAAGGAGCACCGGCCTGGTGGTGGTTTCTGGGCGTGAGCCCAGCCAGGAGAGGGGCTTGCAGCATGGGCCCTGGGGTCCCGTGCAGGGCGGGCTCATGGTGCCCCCAGATGACTCCGCCCCCACGCAGATCTGGAGCAACGACCTGACTATCTCGCTGCTGCACAGCGCGGACATGCGGCCCTATAACTGGAGCTACACCCAGTTCTCCCAGTTCAACCAGGACGACTCACTGCTGCTGGCATCTGGGGTGTTCCTAGGGCCCCACAACTCCTCGTCGGGTGAGATCGCAGTCATCAGCCTAGGTGAGAGCGGGCCTGGGGCAGGCTGGCTGGCCTGGCCAACCCCAGCCCTCCTCCTACAAAGCCCTGCACCCCCCCAGCCCCTTCCCACAGCCCTGTCCCCACTCTCCCCAGATAACTTCGCCCTGCTGTCCCGAGTGCGCAACAAGCCCTATGACGTGTTTGGCTGCTGGCTCACGGAGACCAGCCTGATCTCGGGGAACCTGCACCGCATCGGAGACATTACGTCCTGCTCAGTGCTCTGGCTCAACAATGCGTTCCAGGTGCGGGCGCGCGTGCCCCCTGCGGCCGCTCCCTCCTTGGCCTGGTGCCCACCTGCTGTCTCCCACCCCCAGGACGTGGAGTCAGAGAACGTCAACGTGGTGAAGCGGCTCTTCAAGATTCAGAACCTTAACGCCAGCACCATCCGCACGGTGATGGTGGCTGACTGCAGCCGCTTTGACAGCCCGGACCTCCTGCTGGATGCCGGTGGGCCCCCCGGCCGCGTCTTCGACCTGGGCAGCGACAGTGAGGACGAGGCGGCAGGCCCGGGACCAGGGCCGGCTCCGGCCCGCACCAAGGAGGGCTTGCGGCGATTCTTGGACGGGCTCCTGGACGGGCGGGCGCAGTCCCAGCTGTCAGAGCACGCGCTGGAGACCAGGGTGGCTGAGCTGCTGGCCCAGGGCCGCACCAAACCCCCAGAGCACAGCATGGCCGACGCCCGCAAGCTCCTCATCTTCACCACGGGCTGCCTCACTTACTCACCACACCAGATCGGTAGGGGAGCAGGCCCTCCTCCGTTCCTAGAGCCTGGGGGGTGAGGCTTCCCTGCAGCTGGGGTGGGGTCCTGTGGTCAAGGGCAGGCCGTAAGTCTCTGGGCAGAGTCGGCTTCCTCTGTTTGTCCTGGGGGCCCTGCCTTGGGACAGCCTCCTGGAGTGCGTGTTCCGTGGGGGCCTCTGGTTCCTGCAGGCATCAAGCAGATCCTGCCACACCAGATGACCACAGCTGGGCCTGTGCTGGGCGAGGGGCGGGGCTCAGATGCCTTCTTTGACGCCCTGGACCACGTCATCGATGTGCACGGACACATAATCGGCATGGGCTTGTCCCCGGACAACAGGTGGGCCTCCAAGAGTGTCCTGGGCTTGGGGCGGGGGCTCTGCAGGCTGCTGAGACCAAGCAGGGTGCCCCTTGCCCAGGTACTTGTATGTAAACAGCCGTGCCTGGCCCAGCGGCTCTGTGGTGGCTGACCCCATGCAGCCACCGCCCATCGCAGAGGAGATCGACCTGCTGGTGTTCGACCTCAAGACCATGCGGGAGGTGAAGCGGGCTCTGCGGGCCCACCGTGCCTACACGCCCAATGACGAGTGCTTCTTCATCTTCCTGGACGTCAGCAGGGACTTCGTGGCCAGGTAGATGCGCAGGGCAGGGCCGGGCCGGGCCGGGTCCAGGTGTGGCGGGCAGGGTCTCACCCGAGGCTCTCCCGCAGTGGAGCAGAGGACCGGCACGGCTACATCTGGGACCGGCACTATAATATCTGCTTGGCCAAGCTGCGGCACCAGGACGTGGTCAACTCGGTGGTCTTTAGCCCCCAAGAGCAGGAGCTCCTGCTGACCGCCAGTGACGACGCCACCATCAAAGCCTGGCGTTCCCCACGCACTGTGCGCATCCACCAGGCCCCGCGCCCACGTCCCCATCCCTTTCTCTCCTGGTTTGCCAGCCAGAGGCGCTGAGAGGGGCGCTGGCCGACAGGAGCGTCCTGGGTGTCCTGGGGCCGCTGGGACCCATTGAAGATGCCACAGAGGCCTGCAGCCCTTCCCCAGGGCCCAGCCGCTGCCCAGACCTCGTGGTAGGCAGAGACACTTGTGACAGTCATGCCTTAGGAAGGGGGTCCAGCAGGACTGCAGGGAGGGGACGGCCTGCCCCCCACCACGCTCACACCACACACCACCTCCCACAGCTGTGACCTTCAGCAGCAGGGCAGCCCCCTGGCTGGCTTGGGATGCACTGGACACTGGGGCCCCACTCCTCCCCCACCCTCTTCCCCCAGGGCCTGTGCCCTGGGACAGTCAGCAGCACACATACCCTTTGGCCAGCCCTTCAGGCCCCGGGGGGCCCCTCCTCTGGGCACGTGTTTGCTCACCAGCAGGGCCGGCAGCGCAGGTCAGTCTGCCGTGGGCTCAGGCAGACTGCATGTCACTGGTCACCTGTTTGGGGCCTGAATAAACAGCTGGCAATAGCACTGCGCCATCTGATCTTTGTGGGCAGGGAGGGGCCCGGTGGTATCTGTGTGGACTCTTGTGCCCAACCGACAGATGGCAGGACGCTTGAGGCTGCGTCCCCCGTCGCTGTCCCTGGAACCCCTGAGCAGACGAGGTCACCGGTGCGCAGAAAGTGCCAGAGCACGTCCACCATGACGTGTGCTTGCCACCAGCAGGGAGGCGTAAAGGGGCGCACCTGACCTGAGGAGGTGCTGCAGAAGACGGCCGCACACAGCAGGGCGGAGGGCTGGGGACGTGGGGGGGCAGGAAGCAGCCCCAGCCACATTCTCAAGGCTTGACCCACGTCTGTCCTGGGGGCTCACCTGCCCCCCCTCATTCTGATGGGTGCTGGGTGCCGGGTGGGGGTGCTGATGGGGCAGCAGGCCTGATTTCCGTGCCTGGCTACACACGGAGCTCATCGTGTCGAATAGTCTTCCATGCACGCGGTGACCATCACCACAGTTGGGGGACAAACGCAGCTGACATGGATGTGTCCACGGGAACGAGGACAGAGGCAGTGCCTAGCAGAGGCTGCTGGCCTTGGAACCGCACTGGCTATGGGGGGAGGGCTGGGCAGGGGCTGTGAGGGGCTCGGCCGGGAAGGCACAGGGCCCAGAGGAGCTGCTCGTGGCCAAGTGTCCAGCAGTGTGGGCTGCGCACCCAGAGGTCGCCCCAGCCCACAGTAACAACAGGGAAGCCCAGGGCTGCTGGGGTTCACGTCCAAACCCCCAGACACAAGGACAAGGAGGGGAGCTTGGAGACAAGGACACAACAGCAACGGAAGCCAACACGTCCCACACGCAGCACACCTGAGACCACCCAGAGCCACGAGCAGCCAGCAAGCTCCGCAAGGGCAAACACGCTCCTGACAGGTGGCAAAATGGAACAATTTTCTGAAGAGATCTTAAAATCATCAAGAACTAAATCTGTAAAACAAAAGCAGGAAAGAAGAATAAAAAACACCCAGACTTTCAAAGGAAACCAGTGGAACACAACAGGTAGAGTCCCTGAAATGGAAAAAAGTTTGGAGCAGACCCACCTGGCATGAGAATTGGCAAGCAGAAGATGGAGAAGAAGAGATGCAACCGAACACGACCCAAGGAAGAGTCGGGAGCATGGGGAGGGACGAGGCAGCACGGTTGGGGCAGGAGGCGCTCCAGCTCACGCCTGCAGCGGGGACAGTGGGGCAGAAAACGGCCCAAGGGCACGAAGACAAAAGTCCTCAGAGCACGTGAGGAGCAGCAGTGCCCACGAGACGCGGCACCATGAGGCCACGGCCGGCGAGGGCCCCGTTCCTCCCACAGGGCAGCTAGAGGAGCTAAGCACTCGCTCGGAATAGGGCACACAGCGGGCAGACGGGGAGCAGCAGACTTCCATGTCCGTGCCCGGCCTGAGCTCAGAACAGCCTCGGCCCAGAAGTGAGCGCCCAGAGAGCAGCCTGCCAGGAAGACGGAGTGCTGGCCACAGAAACCCACAGCGGTGAGTGTGGCTGTAGCTCCGAGAGCCCGTTACTGTGGTGCTCTCTGCACTGCCCCTGGGTGGGCCCAGAAGCAGCCTTGTGACCCAGGAAGGGCGTGGCAGAGTGGCCGGCAAGAGCCTCATGTCTCTGGCTGAAGGGGCAGGTGGTGCTGCACCCAGGCCAGAGGGAGCAGCTTGGGAAGCAGCCCCGGGAGGTGGCTGTGACCGCTAAGGCTGACCGTCGGGCTGCAGATGCGCGCATCAGACCCAGACCGCAAGAGCATGCAAACCAGCGCCCAATCCCAGCCCAAGAACTGGCCCACAGGCCGTGGTGGGCATGGGCCCAACCCCAACAAGAGCTGGTGCCCGTGAAGCAGACCCTGACAGTCGTCCAGGAGCCAGACAAGACCCAGAGCCGGTCAAGTGATGTCCAGAATGTCCAGAATGTAACCCGCAAGTACTTGGCACACAAAGAATCCTCAAAAGTCAACTCAGAAGAAAAGACATTCAGTGGGTGCCAAGGATGAAAAGACGCAGATGTTGAGATTATCGGACAGAGACTCTGAAGTAGCAATCGTAAGAATGCTTGAACAAGCAATCACAAACACTTCAATAGATGTAAAGATACAAAAGTCTCAGCAAAGAAACAGAAGATTTAAGAGGAGCCAAAGGGAAATGTTAGGACTGAAAAGCAAAATTTTAAAACTCACTGGACAGACAGACCAACAGAATGGACGTGACAGAAGAGTCCGTGAACATGACTAAGACAGGTGGACAGAAATTGTCCAACCTGAACAAAGGAAAGAAAACCATTTGGGGGAGAAATCAGGCCCCAGGGGCCTGTGGGACAAACACTAAAGGTCTAATGTTTGTATCACTGGGAGCCCAAAAGGAAAAGAAAATGAGCTGCAGAAACGACAGCTGAAATTCACCACCCATGTGATGAAAGATACACACCCACAGATTCAAGAAGCCGAGTAAATCCGAATAGGATAAAGCCAAAGGAATCCACACCCAGACACATCTAATCAAACTGCCAAAACCCAAAACAGAAGAACCCTGACAGCAGTTGGGAAAGCTCACGCCCACCCAGCGAGCTGCAGGCCCCTCACCGGCAGCCACGGTTAAAGCCGGAACGGCTGTCAGCCCAGAATGCCACAGCAGCAAAAACATCCTTCATGAATACAGGTGAAATAAACTCTCAAATGAAAGAAAAAGAAGAGACTCTGTAGCCAGCAACGGAAGGTCTTCTGACAAGAGGTAAATACCATCAGAATGAGGCTGGGACACCAACAACGAGGGGACAGAAATGCAGACTCCTGTCCTCCTGAGTTCTTCAAAACATGTTTGACAGTCGAAAGAAAGGCAGTGATAATGTTTTCTGATGGAGTTTTCAGTCTAGTTATGGGGGGGACGATAAAGGGACCCTTGGGGGTAAGGTGCCTACATCCTGGTTAAAGTGCAAAACACCAACTCCATCGTAAGCTGTTAAAAGTTGAGTGTGTTGTGGGGCGCCTGGGTGGCTCTGTCGGTTGGGCGTCCAACTCTTGATCTCAACTCGGGTCGTGATCTCAGGGTCATGAGTTCAAGCCTCGTGTTGGGCACCACGCTGGGCATGGAGCCTACTTAAAAAAAAAAGAAAAAAGTACAACAATAAAAGTTAAGTGTGTTGTGATCCTTAGAAGAACCACTAAAAATACTACACAGAGAGAGACAAAATCACAATAGATGGACTAAAACAGATTAGCAAAACATGTTCAACTAATTCCGTCCTTCTAGGCAGCCGAGAGGAGATGGAGGTACAAAGACAGAGGACCAACAGAAAACAAACAACAAAATGGTAAACGTCTACCTCAGCGCAGCGATGACTGCATTACTGTCAAAGTGAAACCAACAAAAACAGAAGCCCTACAACCCCACTTCATCATCGCTAACAAAGCACTTCAAATAGGACATCAGGGAGGGAAACAGCAAAAGGATGGAAAAACACATCCCACAAAAACACTCCTAAAAGGAACCTCGACTGGCTGCACTAACCTCCAAGTCGAGTGTGCCTCAGAAAGGAAGAGCCTTGCCGGGGAGAAGAGCGATGCTGCCCACGGGCAAAAGGCAACATCCACCGAGAAGGTAAAGCATTGCCCAACGTGTGCACAGCTCACAAAAGAGCCCAAAACAGCCGAAGCGAAGTGGCAGAACGAGAGGAGAGCGCATTCGCAGCCGGAGATGGCGTGCCCGCCCTCAGGGCAGAACCTAACAGCACTGTGCGCGTTTCCCGGGCTGTGGGAACCAAGAACCACAAACTGGGGAGTCTCTTGTCTGACGGCCCTAGAGGGCACAAGTCCGCGCGCTCGCTGTGGGGGACCCTTCCTTGCCTCTTCTGGCTGCTGGTGGGGCTGGCCATCCTTGGTGTCCTCATGTGTTGACCCATCAGTCCAACCTTCTGTCTTCACATGGCCTCCCCCTGGGCCCCTTAAATCATCGTCCCTCTGCAGGTCTGTGTCCAAATCTCCCCTTTTTATAAGGCTCCTGGTCCTACTGGACTGGGCCCACTCTATGCCTCATTTTAACTTGATTACCACTATACATACCCTATTTCCAAATAAGGTCACATTCTGAGTTACTGGGGATTAGGATGTCAATGCATCTTTTTTGGGGAAATATGATTCAACGTGTAAGAACTACCAAGCAACTGGATTTAACTGAGCTGTGTACAACACCGCACTCAACAAGAGCAGAATACACATTCTCTTCAAGCGGACAGGAGCCTCCACCAAGAGAGACCACAGCCTGCACCACGGGACAAACCTCAACAGACGTCAGCACTTCCAAACTCCTTTTCCATAGGACCGCCAGAAGCCAGAGACCGAAACCAGAGACTACAAAAAGGACATTATAGACCAACATCCCTGGCAAATATAGATGCAAAATCCTCAAGAGATAATTAAATCAAATCCAGAAATAATATAAAATGAATCGTATGCCACGACCCAGTGGGATTCAATCCAGGAATGCAAGACTGGTTCTATATTTAGAGAAAAATCAATGTAAGCCACCATAGGAACAATACAGAAGAACCACTTGGACGTATCACTTGATGCAGGAAAAGCATCCAAGTCATGATAAAGCCCTCAGCACACTAGACGTAGAAGGGAGCTTGCTCAGCCTGGTAAAGGCATCGGCACAATATGGAGGTAGCATCATACTTGGTGAGAGGGAACCTTCCCAAGACCAGGAACAAGGCCAAGAGCTCCTCCTTCCACTCCTGTTCCACTCGCAGCAGGAAACTCAGCAGGTGGGATAAAGTGAGCAAGAGGAATGAAGGGCATACAGACGGGAGAGGAATGGAATTGTCACTCACAGATGACATGATTGTTTATGTGGAAAATCCCCAAAAAGCTACAAAAACAAACAATTCAACAACCTCCTAGAACCAGTGAGTTTTGTCAAGGTTACAAAATATAAAGAGAACACACAAAAAACAACTGTTTCTAAACACTAGGAATATACAATTGGGAACCAAACTATTTATTTATTTGTTTGTTAGAGAGAGAGAGAGAACAAGCAGGGGGAGCAGCAGAGGGAGAGGGAGAAGCAAGCTCCCCACTGAGCAGGGAGCCCCATGCGGGGACTCGATCCCAGGACCCTGGGATCACGACCTGGGCTGAAGGCAGATGCTTCACCAACTGAGCCACCCAGGCGCCCCTGGAAACCAAAATTTAAAAAATACCTTTTACGGGGCACCTGGGTGGCTCGGTTGAGCATCCGACTCCTGATTTTGGCTCAGGTCATGACCTCAGGGTTGTGGGATTGAGCCCTACATTGGGCCCAGCGGGGATTCTGCTTGAGATTCTCCCTCTGCTCCTTACTCCCTTGCTTTCTCTCTCTAAATAAATAAATAAAATCTTTAAAGAAATAATACCTTTTACAATAGTTCAAGAACAAAAGAAATGCTTAGGCACTGACCTAAGAAAGCATGTGTTTATGCTGAATACTACAGAATGATGACTAAAAAAAAAAAAGCAAAGACACAAATAGAGACAAATTATGTTCCTGGACTGGAAGACAACATAGATGTCAATTCTCTCCAACCTGACCTGTAGATTTAATGCAACTCCAGTCAAATCCCGGCAGGGCTTTTTGTAGCTATAGACCAGGGGATTCTAAACCTTATCCGTACTGGCAAAGGAACAAAAAGAGCTCAAGTAATTCTGAAAAACAAGAATAAAATTGGAGGAATCACACCACTTGAGCTAATGCGCATTAGGACGTAGGCTATCAAGACAGACTGGGTTGGTGCAGACACAACAGATCACACGTACAAGGCAAGTTAACTTGACAAAAGCACAAAGCCCCTGGGCAGAGAAGAGGCAAACGGCGGACGTTCGTTTCCATAAATGGTGCTGGAACAACTGGCCATCCAGATGCAGGAAAATTCACCTAAACTTCATGCCTTGTATAAAAATCAACTCAAAATTTTTGGATCAAAGGCGTAAATGTAACATGTCACAATATATTTCCAGAAGAAAGCACAGAAAAACCTTCATTATCTGGTGGAAGGCAAAGAACTCTCCGACATGACATTGAATGCACAATCCGTGTCACAAAAAGTCGGTAAGCAGTACTTTATTTATTTATTTTATTTTTTTATTTTTTGGTAAGCAGTACTTTACCAGAACTTAAAATTTTATTCTAAAAAGCAGCTAAGCAGATGAAAAAATAAGCTACACACTGGAAGAAAACATTTACAAGTCACCGGACAAAGAACTTGTCCCTAGAACATGCAAACTCTCGAAACTCAACAGTAAGCAAACAACAAACCCAACTGAAAAATGGGCAAAACCAACAAGCAGACACGTCTCCAGAGAAGATGCTCATCTTAGACGTTAGGGGGACGCAAACTAAAACAATACCAGTGCACGCCTTTGTAACAAGGGCTAAGACGGGGTGTGGAGCACGGGAACCCTACCTGCACCGCTGGGAACACAGAGGGTGCAGCTGGCGGTCTGTCAGCTTGGGCCGCGGAACGAGACGCCACAAGACGGGGTGGCTTATCAGCAACACACACCTATTTCTCACGGTTGTGCAGGCCCAAGGCCGAGACCAGGGTACCCGCATGGGGCCCTCTGGGCTGCAGACTGCTCGCTGTGTCCCCACACAGCGGGAGGGGCAAGGCAGCTCTCTGGGGACCCTCTCCTGAGGCCCCACCCTGTGACCTGTTATGCCCCTCCCAAAGCCTCCGTGACCTAACACCTCCATCTCGGGGTTAGGTTTCACCCCACGACTTGGGCAGGGGGTGGGGGTGCGGCACACATATTCAGACCATAGCAGCTACTCTGGAAAATGGTGGGCGGTTTCTTATGAACCTAAACTACACTTTCTGTGTGGCCCAGCAACGCCACTCCTCAGGGAGAACGGAAATGTGCTCCCTAGCAGCGTGTGTGCAAACATTCAGAGTCGCTCTACGCATGACTGCAAAAATCTGGAAATCACCCAAATGCCCTTCAACAGTGTATACTCAGACAGACTGGCCCATCTGAGCCGCTGAACGCTTCTCGGCCCAAAACGAAAGGACGCATCTCCGGTTTGCAGAACATCTTCAATCTCCAAGGCATTCTGCTGAGTGGAAGATCCAGTCTCAGAAGGCTGCACACTGTACGATTCCATCACAACATCCCTGAACAACAGTAGTGACGGAGAACGGGGCTCTGGCTGGGGGCTCACAGGCCGGGGGAGGGGGGCACAACGGGGCAGCGTCTGCAGAGATGGAGGAGCTATTCTGTTCCGACCAGGGTGGTGCTCACATCAATCTGTACATGTGGTGAGATGTACAGAGCTGCACCCGAAACACATGATAAATCAACTTTCCTACAACAAATTAAAAGCGCTGTTAGGGAGAAAGTGCAACGGACTCACCCGCCACGGGCCGGGCGAGACTGCAGCTGTGGCCTCCAAACGCAGAGAGAGAATAACGTCGACCCAGGATTCGAAACCCAGTCAACATCTAAAGCAAGGGGAGAATTGGGGCGCCTGGGGGGTGCTCAGTCAGCTGGGCATCCAACTCTGGATTTCGGCTCAGGTCGTGATCTCAGGGTCGTGAGATGGAGCCCCGCGCCGGGCTCCAGCTGGGTATGGAGTCTGCTCAAGATTCTCTCCCTCCCTCTGCCCCTCACCACCGCACACTCTCAAACACAAAACAAAAACACACCTGCGGATTGTGAAGCAGAGGCCCTGCAGGACAGCGCGGCAGCCGACATCTCAAGTCGGGGACACAGGGACAGGCACAAAGCAGCAGACCTGGTGCCGTGGCGCTGTTGATGGTTTTTACTAAGTACTTTTTAAAAAGATTTTATTATTTATTTGAGAGAGAGAGACAAAATAGCAACAGAGATAGCGAGAGAGCGCACGAGCGGGGAGGAAGGGGAGAAGCGGGCTCCCTGCGTGACACTCGATCCCGGGACTCTGGGATCGTGACCTGAGCAGACGCTTCACCAACTGAGCCCCCCAGGTGCCCCTTAATAAGTACTTTTTGTGTTGAAAACTAATATGGAGTCGAAATTCTGGGGAACATGCAGAGGGAGCAGGAGGTCAAACGAAGGCCTAAGTGGAAATCACACTGTGCAGAACGTCGGATGGCACGGCTGTCACTGAAAATGAACCTGGCAGCTCCTCAAACATGTCAACACACGGCCTATCGCCTCCCCTGGCGGGCACCGTCCCAAGGGTGAGGGAACCAGGCCACACACAAACCGCACACACCTCTCCCAGCAGCACGGCCCGTGACGATGTGGGGACAGCCTGTAAGCCCGTTCGTGGACAAATCCATAAATGTGGCCTGTCTGTAACTGGAGTCTCGTCCAGCCCTCAGAGAAAATGAGTCCTGAAACCTCCCGCTCAAGCCAGGCGTGAAGGCCATGCTGCACGACGGCACGCGGGTGTGCGTCCAGAACAGGGAGCCATGGGGATGGAGCGCGGGCCGTGCTTGCCAGGGGCGGGGCCTGCTGCCTTCTGGGAGCTGACAAGGGACTGGAACAGACCTCTCACAGGGTCTGCCTGTAGACCCCGTGCTGAGGGGACCCCAGCCTCCCGGTGGGAGAGGCTCCCCATAGCAGGCAGCACTCGGCAAGGGCGGGGGGCTGGTGCTCTCGGCTCTGCTGTAGACTTCCACCTGCTTCTTCTGGGGCCTGACCGTCCTCCTCTACACTGCAGGACTTCTCCAGCAAGTTCTCCGGACCCAGACCCCTGGCCCGCTGCGGGCCGGCGGGGATGAAGCTGCCCTGGAGAGCAAGGGAGGACTGGCAGGCAGCCTCGCCGGGGCCCTCCTCAGCTCGCCGGCCACCCCCCAACCCACCTTCCCCCTTCTAAAATGGGTTCACATCTTTCTGCCCTTGCCTTCCCCGCCCCCCCACTCTGTCCCCGTGGGTAAAAACCTTTCTAATCCTCTCATTTTACTGCTCTGTTTTCAGGAAAAGGAAGTAAATTCACTAATGTACTTGGTTTACCCCGACTGACCTAATGGAAAACAAAATGCACGCACACACACACACGCATCATATACAAATTCCAAAAGTAAAAACCCAATGTGTTGAAAATAAAGCTTTAAAACCATCAGAAAAAAACACAGAAGTATTTTCTTGGGGAGACTTAGGACTTCCTGAATAAGTAGTCAACGGCACAATCCACAGGAAAATACTACCCAACTCATCATATTTATGTTTTAGGTTCCCATACGCTAACACAGTTCAAAGACACAATCAAGGACCAGTCTTGCCAACAGTAAGAGAACAAGACTGACAACCCAGGAGACAGGTGGACAAGGGCGGCAGGCGAGTCTCTGGACTCCGCAGCCCACCAGGCCCCTGTGCTCCCAGGTCAGGAGCCTGACGCGGGCAGTCTGTGCCCTGCAGCTTGGAGGCAGGGCTGACAAGTGGGTGCGGTCAATTTAGCACCAGCTCAGCGCAAGGTTTCCTGCTGGAGAAGACTCTGTGGTCTCGTCTGTGGAAACGCAGGAGAGAAGCAACTCATGAGGATGGCGCTCTGGAGAGCTGGCAGGGAAGGGCCCGGAAGGGCTTCACTTTTCTGCTGCGTTTCTCTTAGCACGACAGCACATGTCCTAGGCTCGTTTCTTTCTTCTCAGTGCTTTTCTGTCACATCAACTCTCGACACACAGAAGTGAGTCACGGCGTCAGGGGAAGTCAAACGTGTCGCGGGTTCTCTACAAAGACGCCTGGGCAGCCCCCCGCCTGGCCCTCTGGAACCAGGCGGTTCTGAGAACGAGGGGCCACCAGCAGCGTGGTGCAGACGGCCACCAGCCAGGACCCGAGTCTGCCCCAGTCCCTCCCACACCGCCCAGGGCTGAGGCCCCGACCCAGGTCTCACGGAGGTTCAGGCCTGTGGTCAGGGTGCCAGAACTACCGGCCCCCGGTGGGAGGAAATGCCTGGCGCCTGGACAAGTCCTGGTTCAGGGTAGGCAAACGCAGAAGGATCTACTGGCCGCCCTCCCAGCACCAGAGGTCCCTGCGGGGAACGGCAGGGACACACGTGGACCTGCTCTCGAGGCAGCCCCTGGGGAGGCCTGAGGGAGGAAGAGCTAGCTGGCAAAGAACAGCCCAGAAAAAAGAATAGCAGGAGCGAGCCTGCAGCGTCAGGGAACCCCCGTAACTGCTCGGGGACCTGGTGACTTGTGGGGAGGGGGCCACGGGAGGGCACAGAGCCAGGAGGCCCCGTGAGGGTCACCGCCACCAAGGCCAGAGGCAAATGGACACCACTCTCCCCGAGATTTAACAGTTTAATAATGACTTCTCCACAGCCCGACGGGGCAGCTAACCCACCCCATCTCGCAGCAGGGCCCACTGTGCACCCCACACTCACCACAGGGGCAGCCGACAGGATGTCCGGAGGACACAGAGCGCCCTCCCTGCCCGTGGCCTGGCTGGGCCTGCACAGCAGGGCCTCTCCTCAGAGTAGTGGCCAGGCCTGAGAACGTCCCTCCTGTCCAGGCCAGAGGGCGGGCCAAGGTACCAGCTCACCCTGCCCCTCTGCTCACCTTGCCCCGAGCGCCTACACAGACGGCCCACCGGCAGGTACCAACAGGCCTGCAGCCCACCCCACGTGGCCTGGGCGGAGCGGCCTCTCCCAGGAGGCGGCCCCTTCCCAGCGGGACATGAACGCAGCAGGTGCCCACCCTCCGCGAGGCTCAGGCCCAGGGTGGTGGCTCCTCACCAAGCCGTCAGGCCCAGCTATTCCTGACCCCCGACCCCCGACCCTGGTGGGAGGCGGCTAGAGCCCCGTCAGGTCCACAATGGCCTTGATGAAGAGGGCATCATCGCGCACGTAGGAATTCTTGGCCTCCATCTTGGAGACGGGGCAGAAGAGGGGGCAGCCGCTGGCGATGTTCATGTCACTGACTGGCCTCTGGAAAGAGGATGAGGTCACGTCGGGTCTAAAGGCATCAATCACGTGTTCCCGGTTGTTCTGGTCAAGCAGCATTAAGGTCACCTGGAGGGAGAGCGGCCGGGGAGGGACAGCACTCTGAGTCACGGCCCCGCCCAGCTCCAGCTCCCTGTCCGGGTGATCGGTGCCCATTCCGGCACTTTCCGTCCATCAGTCCCTGGGGTCTGAGGCTGCAGTTAACACTACGGAGCTGCACCGCTTGGTGCCTCGCTTGCTCACGTTCACGTGACGGAGGTTCTTGTGCCAAAGAGCTCGCAGAGCCCCCACTGCCCTCCCGAAGGAACAGCACCCTGTGCTGCCACGTCCACCAGAAGCCCACAGAGCCGGCCCAGCATGGTGGAGGGAAAGGACGATGGCGCTGGCACCTTCAAGCCCTCCACCAAGGGCAGGTTCCGGTTCCCAGTGTCCCGTAACACCTGCAGGCGCGGGCTCCCCAGCCGCACCCCTTCCTTGGGAACTGACCCCGAGGCGGCATCTTTAACCGCTGGCCCCGAGGAGCCGTGAGGCCAGGGAGTCGACTGGGCGGTGCCCGAGCTCCACTGCAGGGACAGACCCATCGGCAGCCCAAGGGCCCGTCCTGACAAGCACCCCGCCCCACGGGGCCCCCGGGACAGCCGCTGGGACAGCCTCACGCACCTTTTGGTTGAAGGGCCACCGCAGGAGGGCGTCATTGGGGCCCTTCATCACCACAAAGAAGAGAGACAGGTGTGTCCCGCGCCCGGTGCCGTCTCCGTTCAGGTAGATGCGCAAACACATCTTGTAGCCGTACCTGCTCGTGTAGAAGGCTGCGGGGGGGGGGAGGGGGGCGCTGGTGAACCACGCCGAGGGCTCCCCCAAGAAACACAAACACAGAGAGAACGCCCAGGTTTGGGGGCACATACTTTTTCTCCAAGCATGCAGACTTAGTTCCTAGTGAACTAAGGCCCCGAAGGAAAAATAACTCATCAGGGAAAGCCCTCCTAAGAACCCTGAGTGCAAGCCCGAAGTGGCCACATGCGAACCAGCCATGAAGCTCGGCGGTGGCTCGGGCTGTGGTCAGACCTGAGCCCGGCCTGGAGGGGCAACAGTGGGTGACGACCCGGGACAAGCTAGAGGTGACACTCTGCCAACACCCAGAAGGGTGCAGGGAGACCCGGTGAGAGCCAGGCCATGCCTAGGGGCAGACCTCCCTGCCTTCCTGCTCGAGCCCCCAGGAGCCACCGTCCCTCAGCTCCCCAGACACGGCCCTGCTCCAGCAGGGGGCTCCAGCTGGGGCGCACGCCTGAGCCCCGGCCTGCACCCCCTTCTCAGTCAGGTTTTGTCAGAGCTAAACTCAGAACAAGTTCCCTTCAGCAGGGATGCCCCCACTCCTAGGAGAACGTGCTAGCAAGGAGGCATCTGCTCGAGTCCAGTGCAGAGAGGACGGTGCCCCGAACGGACGGCTGCTCCCCACCCAGGAAGCCGGAGCGTGGGCTCCGTCCACGACCGCCCCAGGAGACACGGCAAGATCACAGAGCAGCTCTGCCCACGGGCCGCACTCCCCTTCCTGCCCCGTAACCTGCAGCAGGACAGGGACCTATACCCTCTCAGCCCGCGCCCTGGACGCACCGTGGCAGTAGCCTCACCAAGGGCACACGCGGCACTCTCCACCAGGGGGAGGCCCGGGCAGGGGCAAGGCGGCCGCGCAGCTAGGGCCCCCCCAGGAAGGGCTGCAGGGCGACCGCGGCCAAGGCATTGCATAGGACTCTACTCCGAGTCCCCGCTCGCGGTTCCGTCCCTGAAGACCCAGCGGAGAGGCGGCAGGCGTGGGGACTCCTCCCCCGTCAGGGAGGCATGGCAGCCGCTGGTACTGACAGGGGCTCCAGCCGGGGGGCACGAGCATGTCAGACAACCGCAGCTCCGAGGGCACATCCCAAACAGCACCTGGGGAGAAGATGGCGGGCGTGCGGCCAGCCACGGCTTCCTGACGCTTCCTGGCGAAGTCGGAGATCTTCCAGACGAATACGCCGTCGAAGGTGGTCGCCTGCATCTCGTGGACCTTCTGCTCCAGCTCGGCCATCGCCAGGTCCTTCAGACCGATGCTCCTCTCCAGCTGCTGCACCTGCGGGGCACAGGGAGCCCCGTGAGGGTACGCGCCTCCTGGGTGCCGGTGGGAGGGGCCGTGAGCCTCCACCCAGTGCGCTTCTGAGCCACCTTGCATTTCGCAGGTGCTCATCAAAGTGCCCCCACACCCATCTTCCCACCAGTTTCGGGCAGGACGGCATCTTCCAGTGCCCCCGAGGCTTCCCTGGGCTCCGCAGGCCTCGAGTAGGCTCCATCCCCACAAGACTCCCAACCCCACCTATGGCCGGGGTTCAAGAGCTCCGTGCAGGCCATACACTCACAGAGCCCACCTCAATCGCGAGGCCCGTCCCCCCACAGGCCAGAGAGAACAGGCTACCTCGGAGCGACCACTAGGACCCCCACATCAGGCAGTCAGTGAGCAGGGCTCAGAAAGGGGCTCTGTGCTAGAAATCAAGGTGCCGTCCTTAAAATCCCAGCTCTGAGGCCCCGTGATGCCCTGGGACCTGTGTGCCCCAGGCCCAGACCTTGTTACTCAGGGCCTCGATCCTGTCCTGGTCCAGCCGGTGCTGCCGGCCGCAGGCCTCAGCGGTCATGGCCACCCTCTCCACCTCCCGGTTCAGGACGCAGACGATGTTCTCAAAGGTGGCCGTCTTCCTCTCCAGGGCCTCACACCGCTGCCGCAGCTCCGCGGCCTTGGAGAGCTCCAGCTCGGGGTGCAGCGTGCTGGCTTCCCAGCCCCCCACCTCGCTCTGGCCCAGGAAGGGGCCACCTGCTCCTGAGAGGTGCTTGGCCTCCAGGAGGCTGCCCAGCAGCATGGCCAAGTGCTCTCGGAGCCAATGGGCCTCGTGCTGCTGCTGCTTCTCACTCTCCACCTGCAGACAGGAGACGGGGGCTCAGCCTGACCCAGGGCCCTGCGGACCTGCTGCAAGGCGGGTCAGGGCTGTGACACCTCCCTGTCATTCACTTGCCGGCATGTCCCGTCACTACCTGGAGTCAGTATCTTCCAAACACACAAGCCTCCCTAGTGACTTCCCTGGTTGTATTTGAAATGACAGGGAAGAACATTTAAAAGTTGCCCAAGGAGGGTGGGGAGACCACCCTCCCCTAAAGCTAACCTTCTTCAAATATTCTTCATCATACAATTCTGACTTTGTAGCCAAGTTTCTTCTAAAACTTCACAACAAATAAAAATAAGTTTTTTTAAGATTTTATTTATTTGTTTAAAAGAGAGACACGGAGAGAGGGAGGGAGGGAGGGATGGAAAGCACAGAGGCAGAGGCAGAGGGAGAAGCAGGCTCCCTGCGCAGCAGGAAGCCCGATGCGGAACGCGATCCCAGGACCCTGGGATCATGACCTGAGCCGAAGGCAGACGCTTAACCGACTGAGCCACCCAGGTGCCCCCAAATTTTAAAATGTTACACACTCTCAGGGGTGTCTGGGTGGCTCAAGTGGTTAAGGTCTGACTCTTGGTTTCGGCTCAGGTCAAGATCTTAGGGCCATGAGATCGAGTCCTGCATCGGGCTCTGTGCTCAGCTTGGAGTCTGCTTGAGAGTCTCTCCCTCTGCCCCTCACCACTGACCCATGCCCGCACACTGTTTTCTCTCTCTCTCTCTCAAATAAACAAATAAATAATTTAAAAAATAGAAATAAAAATGTTAGTTTCAGAATATCAAAAACAGAAACAAACGAACCCCACGAGGCACAGTGCCCAGAGAGCAGCTCCCCAGCGGTGCTGGGACGAGGCCCCTTGCCAGTCCAGGGGGTGGGCGTGGGGGCAGTGTGCGCGTAATGTGGGGCTGGGGGGGCCTGAGGTCAGAGTCAACGTCAGGCCTCATGTGGAACCACCCTCGGGACGCGTCGGACGCTGACTGCTGAGGCCGTGGCTGCCGCACCCCGGGCCCAAACACAGAGGTGCAAAGGTGGAAGGAGCCAACCCTGTGGACGGCACCTGAGACCAGGTGTCAAGGCCCCAGGTGACAGCACCGCCGGGATTACCGCCATCGAAGTGCTGCCAGGGTGTTTGCAAGCGGCGGGGTGCCAGCCGTGCCCCAGGGCTCAAAGAGCCAGGGGCTGCACACTCCCACCCCCCGGGGCACAGAACAGAGTCGGGAAAGAAGGGTAGAGGCCACATGGACAGAGGCCTGGACGAGCTGTACAGAACCCCACAGGTCAAGGTCCTGAGGTGGGAACAGGTCAGCGTGCGCAAGGACAGCCGGGCCGGTGACCAGCCCCGAGACGAGGTCAGGGCGGCCAGGGCCACACAGGCCTCGGAGGCAGGGGAGGCAGGTGGGGTCCAGCCCCGTCTGCAGCAGCATGGATCTCCGGGTGGACTGGACACGGTACCGGAGACAAGGGGAGGGCCCACAGTGACTGCTGGGCTTTGGCTGGAACAGCCGGGCAACATGAGGTGCTCATTTCGGGCAGGTGGGAGGACTGGGTAGAGGGGGGGCCCGGTGTGCAGCTGAGGCCTGAGACGCACACTAGGTATCAGGGAGGTACAAGGCACTGGGCACTTTCAGCAGAGAGAGGTGGTCAGAGGTGGGGCCCCATGGGAGCACCAGGAGGACGGGTGGGCGGAGCAGAGCCCGGACTGAGGCGGGGACCCCGTGGGCCGAGGAAGCAGCAGGGGAAGTGGGAGGGAAACCAGGAGGCCAGGCTGGAGGCCGAGCAAGGACTGCATTCAGGAAGAGGGTGCACGGCACGCTTCTGTGGGCCCCCCTCTCAGGAAACAGGGAGCTCCCACGAGGACCAGCCCCAGCGGACCCCTGGCCGGTGGGACTCACCATCTCGGGGCAGCCGACGACGTGGAACCTGCACGGGACCCGGCACTTGCCGCACGCCCTGACGTGGTCCTGGAACTAGAAGGACAGACGCTCTGAGTGCCTTTACTTTCTCTTCCCCACCTGTGCACGCTTTAGTCTCACACTGACGAAACCCGACAAGCCCGTTCCAGAGCCAAATGTGCACAAGCACGCGCACACACACACGCACGCGCAGCTGTCGACAAAGGGAGGTGGGTGCAGGCTGAGGGCCTCACACTGTGGGCCAATGTCTCAGAACACCTGCAGACACCCTGTCCCGTGCTCGGGCCTCTGCGCCCCGGACTCTCTGCCGCAGCTCGTAAGACACGTGGTGTCCGAGGCCCCAGGGCCCTGGGAGCAAGGAGGGGCCGGCCTGACCAGGGGCCGGACACCCACCACTGACCCAGCGTGGCGCTGGCACACGACCACACAGAGCCCCACAGAAGAGACGCAGAACCCAGAAAGAGAGAAACCACACATGCGCTGGGAGCTGACCCAGCAGCCCCTCCTGCCGGCAGACAAAGGTGCATGACTGCTCTCCCAAGTGGGCGAGGGCAAGGGGCAGCCACGGGACCACTTAAGAGAGGTCCCTCTGCCTCCATGCGCCAGGGCCCTGGAACGACAATCAGAGCTACTAACACCAAATGGAAACACAGACAAACATTAAACTAAGTAAAAGGACAAGGGACTGTGACGCAAGCTACCCAACACCTACAGCTCCAAAAACAGAGAAAGAAGGACTAAGAGTCTCTCCCCACTGCAAGAAATGGGCAGGAGTCCCCAGTGGTCCCCGGTCCCAGTAAGAGAAACACAGGTGAGCCCTAAGCAAAAAGCCCCAGTGGATTCATGATTTGAGACGCAAACTGAACCTCCTGGGACAGCCTTTCTCAGTCATCACATGGCGAGCCCCCAAGGGTGTCACCACACCTGCTGGTGGGGCAGGGACCAGCACTCTGACCTGTCAGCACACGGTCCCTGGTTTTCACCCTGGATCCACACAGCCGTTTTACAAAACTACAAGACAATTTGCTCCGAAAGGGCAATTTTCAGAGACTCGAAAGCAGAGAGACGAATGGCAGCCAGCTTACCACCGAGAGACTGCCTCCCAGGACCGCCAGACGCAGCAGCCGACCGCACGTTCCGCAAGAGCAGAAGGAGCCAGAGACAGGCCGCCAGCCCACGATCGAGGACTGGCGTGGGCAGCGGTGGGGCTGCGTCTGGCGGGGACACAGCACCTACAAGCCCCCAGGCTGAGCTTAGCAGGACCACGATGCCCTGCAGCAAGAGGAGCCACAAACCCGGACGCCAGGCAGAAATCATAACCACAGCTACCAGTACGACCCACGACGCAGTTTCTCTTAAATGGAACGTGAGGGCGCCTGGGGTCTCGATGACTCTTGGTTTCAGCTCAGGTCACGATCTCAGGGTCGTGAGATCGAGCCCCACCTCGGGCTCCCCGCTCGGCGTGCAGTCTGCTTGTCCCTCTCCCCTGTCCCTCACCCCATCTGCTCGTGGGCTCACACTCTCTCCCAAACAAAATTTTAAAAAAAGGAGCACAGAGTCCCACTGCCACCACCAAAGTGTTCTGGATGAAAGGCAGTGCGTGGGCAGGCTCTGGGCCGGGGTCTTAGGCGTGTGTGACTTCAGGCTGGGTCGTTTCCACCTCCCGGAGTGTCACAAACAAGCGACGCACAGGTGACCCAACCCTCTCGCCCCAGGCCGTCGCTTCTCCTTCGGGCGCTGGGTCGGAGCCCCGCACCACGGGCACGAGCTCCTCCCCGCCCCCGCCCCCCCTGCCTGTCCCCGCAGGCGCCACCAAACAACTGACCTTCTCCCGTGAGATCTTCTTCTTGCCGCAGCCATTGCAAGTCAAGGGGAACTTGGGGCAGACCTCGTGGTGTGCCTGAAAGACACGGTCAGGGGCCGGGGTGTGTGGCGAGGTCACCGTGCCGTCTCACGGCCTCGTTCTGGGGCAGCGGTTCCCCTGAGACCTCCAACGGGGTGGGTCCTGCAGGGGGCGCTCAGAGGCATCAGAGAGCCGCCTCTTCACCTGGCAGCTCCGGGGCAACACGAGAAGGACGAGCCAGCAGCGGTGACTCGGGGAGAACACCGCTGCAGGTCACCCTAACTGAAACCGGGCCACTCTGGCCCCGAGGAGCAAGGCTGGCGGGACGGACCACGGCCCTGCGAGGGGATGGAACGCCTCCGGGCGACACCCCTGGCGCCCCGATGCACCCTAGCCCTCAGCAGGCCTCTGTACCGAACGGCTCACAGACGAGGGGACTGAGGAACACAGCACTGGCTCCTTGGGGACGCCATCGGCCAACTGTGCAGCCCAGCTTCTTCAGTAAATAGCGGCAAAGGAAAAGAAGGACACCCGCGGAGCGCCATTAAACATAAAGAGACCCTGCGGACACGTCATCGAGAGGCAGCGTGGGGACAGATGCTCACAGACGTCAACCAACGTGTGCAGCGAGTGAGTCAGGGACAGCAGGGAGTCGCCTCAGAAGTAACAGTGACACATACGGCTCTCTAGGAACAAACGTGCCCAGAAACGGTCTCAAGGGTCTTCAGAGAGAACGACACAAAGCCTGGGACCCACGCACTAAGCGTGCGGAGCCCAAAGCAGCCCGGTGAGTGCCGACAGGGACACGCGCAAGCGAGGGTGGCATGTGCCGCTGCTGTGTGTGTGCACATTTTTCTAAAATAACAGCTCAGCTTTGCCTTCATACCCAACGCAGTTCCCCACCCAGAACCTTCTACGCAAGTGGCTGCGAGGAAAGGGCCGGAGGCATGCAGCGAAAACGCCAAACCAGCCGCGGCGGCAGCAGCTCCGTGCCGCGGTGCCAGCCCACGGGGCCAGGCTGGGAGCACGACCGGGCGCCCTCACCTTCATGTCCGCCCAGCAGCAGGGCGCCCGGCAGTGCCTGCAGCTGAGGCTTCTCTCCGGGCACTCGTGCTCCGAGTGGCGCTCCTTCTCCCCCAGGCGAACCAGGCCTTTGCACGCTGGGCACTCGGTCAGCATGAACGGGCAGTGTCCTTCGTGGCAGCTCTGGCAACAAAGGGAGCAAAGTGTCGACAGAGCGCACGGGGAGCCTGCGGGCTGCCACCCCTGGGCTCCGCTGCGCAGAGATGGCCGCCCCGCCGAGGGCCACTGGGACCCTGCACCAACCCCAGAGCGCCAGATGCGGGGTGCCGCTCCACGTGCCAAGAATCTCATTCACTGCAATCAATACCTGTGCTCCAGGTCAGAGACGGGTAGGGCTCAAGCCGAGCTGGCTGCACCCCACCCACGTGACACCCCAAAACATCCCTCCCTGGGGATGCGCCAGAGTGACATTCAGGGACAAGAGGACCACTGTCCAGACAGCGAGCAGGCCGCAGAGGGCAGGGACAGCGTGGGGTACGGAGAGGCAAGAGCAGAGGGAGGGCACTCCAAGGGGCGACAGGGCCCAGGCCCCAGGCGGAGGGCCTAGAGCAGGGCCGCTTCTAAGTGGACAAAAGGCCCAGGGGTGACAAGAGTCTGTGTGCTGGGAGGACAGGCCACAGCAGCCAGACTGGGAGCCCACCTACTTGTGCCAACACCCTTGCTGACGGCCCACACCGGTGGCGTGGCCGGGGAGGGTGTGGTGACCTAGGGAGGCAGGGCCCAGCCCAGGGCCCTCCAGCTGACAGCACCGAGGACGAAGGTGCAGGGAGGAGGGCGGGCATGCGCTGCCCCTTCTGGAGCCACAGAACCACATGCGGGTGGAAGTGGGAACCCAGCCGAACCCCGGCTGGTGGCTTTCCTGAGCGTGAGGAGGACGCTGTGGGAGGGGGCTCAGCGGCAAACGAGGGGAAGGTGGTGGAAGAAAAGATGGGGAAGGGCGGCAGGAAGGACCCGGAGCCCACAGCCCAACACAGCCTGCAGGCCCGTGGCAAGTTTGCCAGGAAGGGGAACTGCAAAGGGGCGCAGGGTGGAGGACAGGGAGCTCAAGGTTTGTCTGCTGTTAAGTGTTTTTTATTGTGGTAAAACATACACGACAAACTTTACCATTTTCACCGCTTTTAAGGGCGTCCGTGCGTTCATACTGCTGTGCACCATCCCCCCCGTCCGTCCCCAGAACACGGTCATCTTCCCACACTGGACTCTGTCCTGTTAAACCCTGTCCGCCCCCCACCTCCCACCCCCGCATCTGTGGGGCCGACTCCTCCGGCCTCCTGGGAGTTTCCACTCACACACGGGATTGGTCCTTCTGTGCCGGGCTGACCTCACTCAGCACCATGTTAAGTTTTAGGCAGGACATGCTAGGGCACACTGGGGACGACGTGGAGCCTGCTGCAGAAGGAGGGGGAGGTCACTGTGAGAGAAGTTCTGGACTGGCCCAGAGCAGGAGGAGGCCCTCCACCGTGGGCTCAGCACCTCCACAGAGGTCTGGGCGGGGGCAGCCGGGCCGCGATGCCCTCCTGAGGGACCGGGTCTTCAGGGCTCCCCTGGAGAGCCTGGTCGTGGCACACTTGAGAGGAGCAGGGAGAGCCTCAGACGTGCTGTCCCCGAGCGGGGAACACGCTGGCCGTGCCTCCATCCCGTGCCACAGGCTTGGCTGTTGGTGCCAAAGCCCAGCACTTCCAGAGGGAGCAGAAGCAACGGGTGAACTCCAGAGACACAGCGCACGTGCGGCGCCCTTCCCGCCAGTCTTCCCGCGTGCAGACCGCGGAGTCACGGCAGGTGGGGCCCACGCCTCCTCACGGGACCCCACACCACGAGCTCCCAGAGCAGGCACCCCTGCCCTCCGACCTCCCACGGGCTCACACCCCAGACCAAACGCCACACTCCCAGCAAGCCTCCCGGTGACCCCACGGCAGCCCCGCAGAGCACCCCACAGGCTGCCACGCGAGGTCCGCCATCGGAAGGATGCGCACCAGGCAGGCCGCTGCCGCACGACGCCCCGGACACTGTGGTCCAGCAGAGGAGCACCCCCACACTGTCGCTGCAGCCTGCTGGGCTCCCTGCCGACACGGCATGGCCCCCCACAAGCCGCCTGCACTGCAGCAGAGCGTGACCTCCCGGAACCCCCAGGGGCTGTGGCAGAGGGACCGCACAGCTCACCATGACCCAACGGTAGGCCGCGCCTGGGCCACACCGAGTACGCGATGAACAGTCACCGTGAACCAAGGAGGGGTCTCAGAAATGATCACAGCTCACAAAATGGAAAAGATCCAGCACCTAGAGTTAAGGCGCTGGGTTTAATTAAGACTGTTGTTTAACGCACAATAAAACACTCGCGGGAGCGACGTGGGGGCGCCCAAAGCAGCACAGGGCGGCCAAGGGCGCACAGCGCTCTGTGACCGCCCCCCGGCAGCGTGTCTGACATCGGAGACCCGCACGCCTGTCACCCCAGGGCCGCCTCCGAGCAGACACACAGCACCTCCTCACGGGCTCAGAGGGACCACGCTCGCGTTGGCTCCAAGAGAAGCACACACTTGGGAGAAATCAGTATTTATTCAGCCAGAATTCAAACCAGTGTCCCCGCGCACAGAGCTGTGCTGACTCTGAACTCACTGGGACGTGTGGGGTGACCGAGCACGCCTGGCTCGGCCTTGCCTTTCAACTGCGGCCTCCGGGCACCTAGGTCTCCCCTCCGGGCCCTTCTCTGGAGAGCCTCCCCCCTCTGCCGCCAGCCACAGGCTCTAGGCCCAGTCCCAGAGCAGCAGCCGGGGGCTGTGCCCTGGGGCACCTTCAGCACTTGGCAGGCACTCCACAAATGTCTCTGACCTGACCTGGAGTTTTAAGTCATTGCATTCTTAGAAAATACTAGACATTGTCGCAAAGGAAAATCACATTCAAAGGCTAACCAGGACTTTCCAAACAGCTCAGCCACAGCACAGCATTTCACAATGCCACCAGGAGCTCGAGCACCGCAAAGGGCAGCCGTGTTGGCTCGGAGTGGAGGGTGGGCGTGCTCGGAGGCCTTGATCTCGCCCAAGCCTGTGACGTTCACAGCCAGGGAGAGGTTTTACCAAAGGGCCAGGCCTAGTGTCCCAGAGCAGCGCCCGCCCTCCCACATGACCAAACCCACCCTCTCAGGGACTTTCCGGGGCTCTCCGGGCCAGCCAGGGACTTTCCAGCCTGCATGCCTGCAGGGCCATGGCCGAGCCCACAGCCTGGCTGCGGTCCCTGGCCCTCAGCTGGAGGCCCATGCAGCCACCGCCTGCCCGCACCACGGGCCTGGGGGCAGCAGAAACCCGCCTCCCAGAGTGGAAGGTGGGGGCTATCCCGCCTGTCCCCAGGGGGGTCTCTGGGTCCCTGCAGAAGGCAGCACAGCTCCCCGTGCCTACTCCCTGTGCCCCACATGGTCTCCTACACCCACCCAACCCCCAGAGTCTGCTGGGGCTCTCCACCCTCCCAGGAGAGACCCCAAACCCGAGGCCTACTCTCTGGACAGCCCCAGGCAATAACAGCTGTAACAGCTGCAAAGCAGAACCTCCCACCTGCATGTCTGCAGCCCAGGGGCCTCTGGGTCTCACTCCTAGGAAGGCATCAGAAAGGGCGTGGGGAGCCCAAAGGTGCTTCACTTCTAGGCCTCAGGTGCCCACCGGAAAGAAAGTGCCTCTCCTAGCCTACCCCACCAGAGGCTCCTCCCTAGACACGGCCAAGCTGCTCCTCTGGAAACACAGCTTACAGCCTGAAGACCAGAAGTCTGGTTGGTCAAGAGAACGAGGGAAGTTCGGCACACAGGCTGGGAGCAGGAAGGGAGAAGGCTGCTAGGAGCTCAGGTCCCACTCCCAGCCCCGACGGGCCCTCCGCCACCATCACGACTCAGTGCCCAGCGCCCACCTCATGGCAGGGGCTATCCCGGGGTTGGGGCAGGAGCGTGTCTGAGCTTAGGAGAGCCAGGGTTCCATACCAACAGCCCCTCCAGCCTCACCAACAGGGCTGTCCACTGTGAGAGGCCAACCTGCTACTCTGCACCACTCCCACCCTCCCGCCCGGGCAGCCACCCTGCCCCTTCCTGCCTCGCTGGCCCTCACAGGAGTGCACTCCCACAGGACGTGTCCTCGAGGACGGGCTCACTTCACGAGCACAGTGGCCTCAAAGTCCACCCACGTGTCTGGACTTTCTTCCTTCCTTTTTATGGCTGAATACTATTCCGTGGTGTGGACAGACCACATCTGGTTTGTCTCTTCATCTGCTGGTGGACACCTGGCTACCAGGACGTTCGTGTGCCGTAACCGTCTGAGGTGTGCTAGTTAAGAAGAGGGGATGGCCAAATGCGTGAGCTATGGAGGCCGCCCGCTGTAGGCCTGGCCTCGAGCTGCCAATCACGCAGAAGCACCCCCGCAAGGCTGACATGCCTCGGCAGCATGGGCACACCGGCCCCTGCCCTGTCGCTGGCCAGGTGACTTTCTGTGACCACAGACCAAACGTGCAGCTTACTTCCGCAATTTCCAACGTCTGTACAATTCAAAATGAGAAAGCCCTTGCCTGAAAACACACGGAAAGACCCACCGAGCAAAGAAGCTCCTTTCCTGCACATCCCGGGGATGCTGCAGCAGCGCCCTCAGAGCGAGCACGGGGTCTGCCCCCCGCCACGGCACTCTGCCGAGCAGCAAACTGGGCCCAGCGAGGTAACTCCCCCTTCTGAGCGCGATCCCCCTGAGTCTGCGTGCACCTGCGGGGAGCAGCTAGGCGCTCCCTGGCGGGCTCGTGGAGACTCCGTGTGATCATTTTGGGGGTGGGGTTCGGGCTCGGGAGGCCGTGCCAGCGCAGGGGGCCCCTACCTCATACTCTTTAAGAGTCCCCTTCCAGGTGCAACCGTCGCTGGGACAGACGGCCGGCAGGCTCTCCACCTCCCTGCGTGCAGCGTTGTCTGGGAAAGCCTGAGGAAAGCATTCCTAGGGTTAGGCCGCCTCCTCCCAGCTGCCCGCCACCCTGCCTGGCCACCAGTGCTGCAAGTCTTCCAGACTGAGGCCCAGGACTAAGACGCTCTCTCCCAGCGCTCCAAGCTCTCGGCACGACCGTGGCAGGGAGGGGCGCATCCTCGTGCTCAAGCTCCACACAGCCATCGGTGTTGTTAAAAGCAACAGTTTCCGTTCACTGTGACATTTTTTGCTTGAAGACTTTTCACTTACCGAACCACTTTCCAAAATGGAAATGCCTTCTTCATATATGCCCTCGTGAACACAGGCAGCGCAGTTCTGAGGCCCGGAGCTAGTGAGGAAAGGGGGAAAGGCCCACCATCAAACCCGCTGCAAAGAACGCTGTGTGCAACTCTCCGCCCGAGTTCTGCGCCTTCCAGACCGACACCACATCACTCGGGAGCATGCGTCGACGTACCACGGTGAAACCCTCTAAAGTGAGGGATATGATCCAAACCCTCTAATCATGACGATCCCTTCCACGGTGAACAGAGGTGCTCTCTGACGGCCCACCACTCGGGGCCAGGTCCCCAGGAAGGAGCTGCTGGCTCCCTGCGCCCACCCTGGCCCTCCATGTGCCACAGGGCCCCGCCCTCAGACTAGCGGCTGCGGGCTCTTGGGGACGTGTTCACCATCTGGAGTGGCACATCCAATGCAAACGGTCTCGGGCCCACGTGACAAACTAGGAACAGCCAGGCACAGACTGTAATGTGTTTATTTCAGCCCCCCACGTCCAAGTCCACGTGCAACCCATCCTCTTCCGTTACTAACTTCACGCTCCTGTTTGCAGCGAACCTCTGCCATCAGGAGCACCACCTGGAGCACAGCCCCTGCGGACGCGTGCATGCCTGGAGCCGCCTCCCTGGACAGCACAGCCCCGAGGCGAGCCCCACTGCCTTCCACCGCGCGCAGTACCTCAGGATGCTGGTCAGACAGTAGGAGCAGTAGCGGTGGCCACACTGTGCCTGGAAAGGCCTGCGCAGGACGTTCCTGCAGGCCGAGCACAGGTACTTGTCCTCCGGCTTGGTCCCCAGGAGGGTCTTCGAGAAGCCAGGCTGCAACAAGTCTAGGGAGCCGGGAGGGGTCACGCTGGCTGCAGCCATGAGAGCCGCAAACCGCCACGGCCTAAGGAAGAACACAGAGCACGTCCTGGAGAGTCCTAAGAGGCGCCTCAACTCCAGGGTCCTCCTCTGGGGAAAACAGCCCTTGCCCGGCGGTGAGGTGCCTGGGCTGTCAAGCTAATGGTGGTCAAGAATCTGGAAGCAAGATTTTAGTGCTCTAGAGAACTTGGAGACAATCTAATCCAAGTTCCCACTACACGCGTGGAAGCCAAGGCTTAGCCAGGGGTTGCACCAGCACACCCTCCCAAAGCCTCTAGACCAGCCGGCTGTTCTCAAGGTCACCCAGCCTACCACGGACACAGCGTGTGCCGGCATCGGAGGATGCCACCCTCCCACCAACACTGGCCATCCGCAGTCCTTGATCCTTGTGCCTTCCTGTCTAGCCCAAGCTTCCTACAAATCAGCCGGCAGGAAATTCTGACCAGCTGTGCTCGGTCTGAGGCAGTAGCCAGGAGGTGGCCACCCTACACATCGGCCTCTCCACTGTCGCCCCTGAGAGGAAGCACGTAGCCCGCCTGGCACCACTGCTCTGCTCCCCGGCCACCGTCACCAGGGTCCCTCTCACTTGAGAGCTCCCCTCTGCTGTCCTCCAGGCCTTGGCAAGGCCCCGGAGGCAAGGTAACCAGGACGCACAGCTGGATGGGGAGAGGCTTCCACAGCGTTCTGAGACCTCGAATGGAACACGCTGTTCAATGTCCAGCATCTCAAAAGCAACCGTACCTGCTAACCCCTAAAAAAGGACAAGTACCCAACAGCCCCTGAACAGGAAGCACTATTAACTCAGAGCTACCCTGGCCCCTTTGCAGACGCTCCGAAGAGCTTCCTTCCCCAAATGCCCCGGGAAACACATCCCCGGGTCTTCTCCTGGATGTGCATGGGGAGCACACCAACTTCCAAACCAGGACATTCTGAAATGATGTGCCTCTTTCCTATGTCCGTAAGGCGCTCTTCCGTGTCCTGAGCTGGTCGGACACCACAGAAAGCAGCGACAGCGTGTCCCTGTTTCCTATCTACTGGGCAAAGCCACTTTCAATCAAGGCTCTGGATTTGTAATCTGTGAGGCCCTGCTTGGGCTGGCGTGCCAGAGCACACAGGTTATATTCTTATAACCTGCAATTACTCCTCCAACCACCGGACAGACGGAGGGTCGTGCCCACGGCCACTCAGCAGGACGGCACGAGTCCCACTCGCTGGTCCACACACTGTCAGCACGTGTGGGCGTGTCTGGGCCCCTGGACCACCCATCTGTCCCTCTGACAACTGGGGGATTTCATTCTTTCGAGCCCTCGTGACACAGACATGTAAGCCCCAGAAAGTGCCACTTAATAAAGCCTTTGGTGGAAAAATTAACCCAAAAGTTGGAGAGCTCACGGATGCGCTAACACTGCTGGCCAGGGCAACCGAGGAGGGAGGACGCCCTCAGCCCACATTTTTCAAGGCCATGTTCGTGCTACACACACGTACTGACTAGAACAAAGGACCCGTGAAAGTCTGCTCACTCCCAGGCATTCTGCACATTCTTTTTTCTGGTCACGCTACTAAATTGATTTCACGAACCATCAATAATTTGAAAATCACTGCTCTATAAACTACATTAGACAGAGACTTTTACCCTTAAATGATACTAGAAAAAAAAAAGGCACACTCTTTAGATCTCTATCTTATGCTCAATTCATTAAGTAAAAAAGAGCATCACATACAAAGAACGCTGAATTTAGTCATGTTTTATACGGACAAGGAAATAAAGTAAAATAAGAAGCAAACACCATCATGACAGGGTACATTTTAAACCTCATTTTAAAACCTCACCCAACAGCTTCCCTCAGCATCTGTGAGACAAGGCTTTATTCTGTGGCATCGATGTTCCATCTACTTGAGGCCAGGCCCAGCTTTTGGCCAACTGATCACTCCTGTGGCAGACTGAACTCATTCTACTAAGCCATCAACATGTCCTCCCCTTAGATATAAAAGAACCACACAAATGGTCTCTGTTTCCGGGGATGAAAAAGGTGAAAGGCCACAACACACAGCCAGGCCTCGATGACCTCACCAACACAACCTACTCAGCGGTCACAACTACCTGACAGCTGGACGGTGGGGGTCTGTATTTCTGTCCTGAATGTGGGGAAGTGGCCCTGGAGAGCCCAAGGAGCCCACCCACACCACGCACCGGCCCATGGGTCCCACCGCTGCCCATGCTGTGCTTTCGAGTTCCCAGCTTACCTCCTTAAACGTGTTGTTCAAATCTCATTCATACACATTTGACCTTTTGAAAACTAATGAAAAGACATCATAAAGACTCAAAAGTGTTGTGCCAAAATGTAACACTTTGAGGGACATCTGGGCGGCTCAGTCGTTAAGCATCTGCCTTCAGCTCAGGTCATGAGCCCAGGGTCCTGGGATCGAGTCCCATGTCGGGCTCTCTACTCAGTGGGGAGCCTGCTTCTCCCTCTCCCTCTGCCTGCCGCCCCCCCTGCTTGTGCTCTCTGTCAAATAAATTTAAAAAGTTAAAAAAAAAAAAAAAAGTAACACTTTGAAGGCCATCAACACTAAGTCCTGCTGCTGCGTTGTGGTGCTTGCCCCAAGCCTAGGAGAAAACTTCCCCGTCTCTGGCCCTGAACTTCTGAACTTCTCGGTGGTCTGCACACGTCCACCCGTCCGAAACTACACAGGCCTGGGGGCCTCCCTGGATGACTGGCGTAGCCAGCAGCACCCGACGCCAAGGACACGGGTGGGCCAGCCCGCTACCGCATGTAGGAGAACGGGAGTCAGGAGTTATGAGCACCCCAACCTAGAACCAAAACGCCCTACTGGTCCTGTCAAGCTTCCAGATCCTCTCGTGGGTAAGTTGGTTATAAACATTTGCAGTGATTCGCGGGAACGTGTGAACAAGCATCCCCATTCAGCCTGTCCTGGATTTCATATTCAGTCCCCAAAATCAAGCTTCAGACACGAATGCATGAACTTCGTACAACCAAGAGATTTGTGTTTTGTTAAAAGGGCATTTCTACCAGACAGAAAACAGTATGTCCAGAATGGCTCCAGTTATCTGAAGTTTGAGGACAGACAAAACTAGCCTGTGATAATAGAAGCTGGGAAGCAATCCCCTTTGGCGGCATGGGGCTGTGATACACTGGAGACTCGCTCTTCTTCCCTGTTCCTGGAACAAAGCTCCTAAAACCCCTGGGACTTCCCGAGCCACGGGGACAGGGGAGCCTGTTTTTCATAAGCCCCTTCCACATCTGCCCCCCACGGCCAGGGAGGGGGGTGGGACTGGAGATTGACCTAATCACCAATGACCAATAATTTAATCAACCACGCTTTCGTGACGGAGCCCCCATAACCTCCTGAAGAATGAGGCTCAGAGAGCTCCACAGTGCCGAGAGGAGGGTGTGCTGGAGGGCATGGAAGCTCCGCGTCCCTGTCCCACACCTTGCCCTGTGCATCTCTGCCATCGGGCTGTTTCATGGAATTGGTGCTTGCTGGAGTTCTGTGAGACACCCTAGAAATCATTGAACCCAAGGAGGGGGTCCCAGGAACCACATATTTGGTGTCAGACGTACCGTGAGTAGAGAAACACAGCCATTTTCCATTCAGGGGGTCAATGCTTGCAAGAGGCAGGAGGGGGCCTTTTGGGGTGCTGGAAATGACCGTATACGTAGACAAAAGTGCATCTAGCTGTATTCTTAGGATTTGCACATTTTGCTGGATGTATGCCTCAACTTCAAAAAAAAAAAAAGATGGAATTTCTATTCCCAAAGAGTCAAAAAAGGCCTTTAAGTCCCTAATTATGGTACACCCATGCATGTTTATCCAAAATAACCCTGTCTCATAACATTAAAAATGGCAGAGCAACCTGAAAACCAGGTTCTGACATGGAAGGGTTAGGGTTAGAGTGGGGGCATCCAGCCCCTTGACAAGCCCAGGTCCTGCGTCAGTGCGAAGCACGAGGACCCAGGGAAAGGAGCGTCCCTGCGAGGAACCACTGGCTGAGCTGGAGGCCACAGGGCAGCTGGCACCACCGTCCCCAGCCTGGGGCATGAGATGGGGTAGTGGTGTAAGTCCCCAAACTAACATCAAATGAGACATGGGAGCACCTGGCTGCCGGGGTGGGCATCACCAAGCTGCCAGCAGGCACAGGGGTTCAACCCTCAGCCTGTGATACCCCAAACGCCAGGGACTCAACTTCCCAAATTCACGTCCTCACCGACAACCAGTTCTGTTTTGTCCAATACTGGGATGCCATGTCCGATTTTACCTGGTTCCACCCAGTTCCAACACACCTGCCTAACAAGCCCACTGAAGCAATATTCAAGAAGGCCAACCAACATGCAGCTGGGAGCACAAGACAACCCCCCCCCACCCAGGACTAGAAATCCACTTTAAAATTACAATTTTATACTTCAGTTCATCTTTTTCCAAGCTCAGCATAATGCCAAATAGTAGCCTGGTACCAACTTCACGCCCAATAACTGTTTCCATCGTGAGCATTTACTCTGGGGGAGCGTCTCTAGTCCGAACTGCTGGCTCACATGTCTTCACACGATCTACACGCTGATACTGAGTGTCTATGATTCAAAACTGGGGCTCTCAACAGGGACAGGGTGATCCGTCAGTCATGATGCAGCAACTCTGTCCCTTCTTCCGCCTGACCCAAGTGACCGCCCTGCCCCCCCGCCCCTCTCCCTGACCTCTGTCAGTGCCCGCACTTCCCCCTGCCCCGAGAGCTGGCAGCCCATCGGCTGCTCCAGCCACACTCTCAGAGACCACTCTCACTCATCCACTCACCTTGAACAGCTCCGCCCTCCACCAACACCCGGAATCTGACGGAACTGCGACTGCTGGGCCCTGGCCGCCGTCCACCGCGACCTGATACACAGCCGCAGCCTCTCGGGGCCCTCCCGGCAGCCATAGGGGCCTTTGGCTGGGACTCAGTTACTCTACCCTCACATCCCAAGGCTTCCCAGTGGGTCTGCCCGCCACCCTGCCTGTCCAAGAGGTCGTGGCTTCTCGACAAGGCCTTCCCTCTCAGCAGTCATGAGACTGTACTGTGCGGGCCTGTCTCCTCTGGATAATAAGCTAAGCACCAGGAGGTAGGGCCTGGGAGGGCAGGAGGAGGGACCCAGGCCTGTGCATGGGGCACCTGCCACCCCAGGCTTCCCAGGCTCCTCCATGGACTCCTACACACCCATTAATCTAGCCTTTCCTCCACACCATTTCAGATGGGGCACCCCGATTCTGGAACCTGTACAAGCTGTCCCTTCTGAGGTACCCCCCTATTCTACCTCCTAGCCCCACCCCTGCTGAGTACTCACCTTCCGAAACCACAACCGGGTCACAAGACCACCTGCTCCACTTGCCCCCGGGGCCCTGCCAGGAACAAGCCCGTTCCTGCTCAGACCCTGGACAGCTTCCGGAGTCTGCCTCTTGCACCCTCCTCCGAGGCTCAGACCCTCTGTGCAGGGGTGGAGACTGTGGTGGGACAGTGACATGTCTTCCCTGTGGACGCAAGGGCCAGGCCCCTTAGAGAGGGGCCCTCACCCATCCCCGTGAAGGAGCAGGCCCAGCGCATGGAGAATGGCACAGCAAAGCACAGGCCTGGACTCCAGAACACAACGAAGACGTGCACCCCATTCCTGGCATCACGTGTGCAGTCCGGGGGTGATTTCTCTGGATTTTCTTCTCTGGACCTCCTTGCCTTTGCCTCTCCACACGTTCATGATGTCCTGCCGTGGACATCCACACGCCAGTGAGCTGACCACGCTGGTGGGAGGGTGGGCAGGCTGGCATTTCCCACTGCCAGAGAGGGACCCAGATCTGATTCTCCAAACACAAAGTGAAAAGGCCTTCATGTTCCCGGAGACCATGCTTTCTCCCGGAACAAGTGACCACCGTAAGTCCTGTGCTCTAGTCCCCAAATTATAACCACTGCGGCAACCTGCTCCTTTAGGTCCCCAAAGAAACGACGTTTACGTTTATTTCCCCGGGGAAGTTTAAAACCCACTCAATAGAGAGAGAAGCCCCAGCTGAAGGCCCCCAAGGGAGCCAGCAAGGCGCGCAGCAGCGAGGGGCACACAGAGCCGCTGCACGTCTTTACAGGCTCCTGCCCTCCACTAGGCGCGGTGCTGAGGACACTGAGGCAGGTAACGGGCTGGGACCACACAGCACACTGCGGCCACAGGACGCAGAGGTCTGCAACGCCGCAGAGCACTGGAAGGCTATGTGGCGCAGACTGCGCAGGTCAGGAGGCACCTGCAAGCAGAAGGACCAGCACAGGGGCGCCCGGGGGCGTGGTCGGTTAGGTGTCTGACTCTTGGTTTTGGCTCAGGTCATCATCTCGGGATCCATCGAGCCCTGTGTCAGGCTCCGTGTCCCCTGCTGGAGATTCTCCCTCCCTCTGCCCCACTCCACCCCTGCTCAAGTGCCCTCACTCTCTCTCAAATAAATATTACCAAAAAAAAGGACCTGCACAGAGGCCCAATGTGCCCAACGTCCCAGCGCACGCCTTTGGGGGCTACGGCTTCGGGGGGCTGGGCTTTATTCTGAGAACCGGGCACCCAGGGAGAGGGGCCGCCCAGATGTGTGGAAAAGCCACCACTAGAAGCACTGAGGGCCTCTGTGGCTTGCAAAAGGCTTGAAGCTAGGCAACTCTTAGCGTTTGGTTTCAGATTCAAGCATTAGTGAATACCGGGCACGTAGATCACAGGAGCAACGACGTGAGGTTGGTTGAGCCTTCCACCTAAACCCCGCCACTGAGTGGACAGACACCACGGCCCTCCCACGCTGCCAGGCTCCAGGTAGGGCGTCTGCTCTCCCGCACGCCGCTGTCCTGGGCTCTCCACTGCCACGGACCCCGGCACAGGCGGTTCTGAGTCGCCCCACTGCAGAGTCCGTGCCCCAGTGCCGGACGCCATCTCCACGTCCTCAGCACCCACCCTGGGACTCTCCCCCAGCTCCTGCGGACACGCGGGACGCCCCGCCTGTACTCACAGGCGCCGGGAGGCCACGGGGCTGGGACAGGCGCCGAAACGGTCCGGGGGATGCTTGAACCACAGGCATCTGGCTCGGACACACACGTTGTTAACAGCTCGGGGCTGTAAAGGTGCCTCTGTCCCTCCTGGTTTTCTCGATACCGTTTTCCTTCTCCAGCTGACGTACGGCACGAGTGGGATGCACGACACCCAGGACGCACAAAAGGCGGGTTAACGGACCCTCCCCGCTCCCCCGGGGGCTGTCAGTTCAGCGGCTCGGGAGTCCAAAGTCACAGGTGGTGCTCGCTGCTGCGGCAGGCGAACGCGCTCAGAACAGCACGCGGGAGCGGCCGCGGCCCAGGACGCCACGGTCCGTGAAGCGCCCTCCGCGAGAAACAAGCGCGGGCGGCGGGCTGCCTTTCCCCTCCGCGCCGCCCGGCGCCCAGCCCCGGACGTCCAAGGGCCCCCGCGAAGAGCCGACCCGAGGAGCCTCCCGGCCCCGCAGCGGGTGCGGGCAGAGAGCGGCGAGCCGGCGCGACCCGCAGGTCAGCGCCCCGCTGCGGGCTGGCGTCGGGCGCCGGCCACGGGGCGCACAGGCCGCCGGCGGCTTCCCGGCAGCCGCGCCGGGAGCGGGAGAACGCGCGGCGCGCTGACCCGGGCCGGGACCCCCCCCGGCCGGAGCCGCCGTGGACGCCCGCGGGCGTTCGCGAACCTTCCTGCGCCGCCCCGCTCCGACTTTCGGTTTCCGGGCGGCCCAGCCCCGAGAAATCCCCTCAGGCCCGCGGCGCGGCGACCCCGTCCGCGCGCCCGCCGCCCCGGCGCCCCGCGCGCCGCCGCCCCGGCCCCCGCCGCCGCCGCCGCCGCCCCACCCCCGCCAGCGCCCCAACCGACCCCCGACCCCCGACCCCGACCCCCGCAGCTCCGCTCACCAACGGTCGCGCGCGCCCGGAACTGCGCGCCCGCCCAGCCGCCGCCGCCGCTGCGGACCCGCCCCCCGAGCCCGCCTGACTGACTGGCGCGGGGGCCTACCGGAAACGCCCTGCGAGCCGTAGCGGGCGCCGATTGGCCAGACCTCTCCCCGCCCTCCGCCTCGGCCCGCCCTCCCGACGGACTGGCGCCAGACCCTATCAGGAGCGCGCCGGGGGCCGCAGCGGGCGCCGATTGGTCGGAGCCGCCGCGACGTGGGTACTTAAGTGGAGCCCCGGCGGGGCCGCCGCGGCGTCCGCGCCGCGCGGGCCGCGGCGGTCGTCTTGCGGCGGGGAGCGAGCTTCCTGCGGGAAGCCCTTCTGTGCGCCTCGCCCCCCGGGAGCCTGGGCCTTGGGCCCCGCGGCAGCGCCTTCCCCTCCCCGGAGCCCGGCTCAGAGCAGGGCCCCAGTTTGGGTTACAGTTCTGAGAAGTACAAAAAACCCTGCTCACCTAAAGAGCAGGACGGATAGCCGGTCCCCTGTGGGGTGGTGAAATGTTCTAGAACTAGACGGTGGCGCTGGTTGCCCAACATTATGAATGTACCACTGAATTGTACCTTTTAACATGGTTTAAATGGTGGGTTATTTGTTGGGTGAACTTTTCCACCAAACAGAGCTAAAAACGCACAACTTAGGGCCTCCAGACACATGAAAATGTGGCACGCGCGAACATCTAGAAACAAGGCAGTGGTCTTGGCAGAGAAAGAGCGCTGAGTGCTGCTGACCCCATCTCTGCCTCTGTGTGTGTGACCCGAGGCCGGTCTGTTGCTCCACCTACCAAAGGAGACTATTTCTCACTGAACACGGGTTCCGCTAAGTATCCGACAAAGAGCATCTTGTCTCGTCTCGTACTAGTGTTCACAGGTGGCAAGTGCTCACTGTATTTCGGAAAAAAAGAAACGAGGACTCAGAGAGCTGGGATTCTTTACCCCGTCACACAGCCCCATGCAGCAGCCCACTCCGAGGGGGTCATCTAGCAACGGGAACGGTTGTGGGATGGGGCAAACCCACGAACAGGGGCGTCTGGGGAGCTCAGTGCTGGAGCCACTGCGTGCGGCTCGGGTCGTGCTCCCGGGGTCCTGGGATCGAGCCCCGCATGGGGCTCCCTGCCTCTCTGCTTGGTGGGGAGTCTGCTTCTCCCTCTCCCTCTGCCTACCACTCCACCTGCGTGTGCTCTCTTTCTCTCTGTCAAATAAATAAATAAATTCTTTAAAGCAAAAACCCGAAAAAGAGGCAGGCTTTGTTTTGTTTGTTTGTTTTTAAGATTTATTTATTTATTTATTTGAGAGAGAGCACAAGCAGGGGGAGCAGCAGGCAGAGGGAGAAGCAGGCTCCCCGCCGAGCAGGGAGCCCGACGCCGGGCTCGATCCCAGGACCCTGGGATCATGACCTGAGCCGAAGGCAGACGTTTCACCGACTGAGTCACCCAGGCGCCCCAAGAGGCAGGCTTTGAAGTGACGTGATTTAAGTGCTCCACGCTTGGTCCAGAAATGCTGGCATCGTGCATAAGCGTTACTTGGTCTGGAGTCCGAACTCCCCTTTCCAAAGTGCCACATCCTTGGATTCAACCGCTAGGCTGCCTTTCCTCTGACAGAACTCGGGCAGCGGCCGGGTTCCATGAACTTCGAGGCTGAGTTTGCCACAAGCAAATCCCCAGTCCAACCTACAGGCTCAGTGAAGTTTCATTCAAATCCCGTAACTAAGTGAGCTCCTCCCAGCGTCCGGGAGGCCAGGGCTGTCCTGGGAGCCCACCAGCAGCTGGGCAGGAAATGGTTCTTGTTACAAAGAGGAGGTCATCTGCAGCAGCGGCCCCTCCTCCACCCCCTTCCTCCAGGGTGAAATCGGGAGGCTGTCCGCCTACCTTTGTGCCATAGCTCCCAGAGAGTGGCACACCCCACTCTTCCAGGATTGGGGACCATGTGTCCCCGAGTCCAGAAGAGATTTCCCTCGCAAAGTTCCTGCCTCCTGGGCAGGCAGCCACTTGCAGGCCTCGGCGCCTGCAGGGCTGGGCCGATCTTAAAGTACCTGCCAGTGGTTTCAGCAGGAAGATGCTCTTTGACTTTGCCATTCCCGAGGATTTTCACACACACATTTTTTAAAACTTTGATTCTGGTGACAGGCCTTTGAGGCATGCAGAGTTGAGAACGGGAGAGGAAGCCCCAGCCCAGCCCAGACTGGGAAGTGGCCGACCCGCCCCCACTGACCAGCTCAGACCGGGTGACACCTCAGTCCTGGCTGGCTGGAAAGGGGTGACTCACTCTGGTCGTCAGGCAGCTCAGGGGATTCCCACTCAGGTTCCTTCCTGCCAAAAAGAAAGCAAAACTCCCCCCAAGGAAGCCACAGTGGGAGGGCTTGGGGAGGGCCTGGGGCAGCCCCAAGCAGACCGGGGAGGGCCCACATCATGCTCCCACTGTTCCCTGAAGCCTGGGGTCTTGGAGGCAGCAGAGGGCCGCTGTCCTGGGCCTCAGTGCCCCCCAGAGAGAGGCATGGGCCTGGCTGCACATTGGGGTCCACGCTGCTGTGGACGCAGGAGAGCCCACCAGCTGCCCGCTGGGCCTGTGGACTCCTGCACCCGCTCTGCCCGATGGCCCGATGGCTCTCGAGGCAGGCAGTCTGCCCCCACCCCTTCTGTTCCCCCTTCCCATGGCATCCCCTGTGCCCCAGATGCTTCTGAACGCTTGCTGCACCTCCTCTCCCAATAGGGCATGACCGCCCCCCCCTCAGAGGTCCTCACCTCTTGTCCTTTCCTCACTCAGGCCTTTGGGAATACAGGCAGGAAGGCTGACCCAGCCCCCCACCCCCGGCAGCACCCCGGACACAGGATGCCCCTCGTGTGCCCAGTTCTGTCCCCGGAGGAGGGACCCCTGCTTGGCAGGGCTTGCCCCGTGAGGATGGGCTCCCTCACCCCACACACCCCGGCTCCTGCCCTAACAGCCCAGCCTTCTCCTCCGCTCATTTCCCAGACATGTGACGGTGAGCCCGGGGCTGCAGCTTCTGAAGGAAGCTGGTCTCGCTCTCACTGTGCAGTCATCTGACGGTGCCTTTCCAGAAGGCCAGCCAGAAGGGGCTCCCCCCGCCCCCACAGAGTGCACAGCCACTGTGGCCCCTCCCCCAGGGCAACCCCCTCAAAAAGAAGAAACACACAGGGTGGTGAGGTGAGAAACAGAGTGCTGGGGCAGGCCCATCCTGGGGGCGTCCCAGAAGGGCAGGGAGGAGGAAGCCAGGCCCCCGTCTTGAAGGGCCAGCCCCGAGCTGGCCCCCAGCAGTGTGAGCCCATGGTGAGCGCTGCTGGTGGAGAAGACCGCGTGGCAGTGACCGACATGTGCGGGAGCGTCCTCTGTGGGCAGAGGTGGACGGCTGTCTCCGTGCCCATTCGTACTATCTGTAGACTTGGAGAGACACATGGAGAGTAATAGGAGCGGAGAGGAGGGAAGAGGAGGGGCATGCTCACTATACAGCACCCCACCTGATGATCTTACTGCTTGGAAAACAGTTGTGTTTTAAGCAACAGAAGCTCACTTCGGAAGCTCTGGAAAACACAGAAGAGTACCACGAAGAAAGCAAAGATCACCCCAAATTCCCCCACCCAGAAGCAAACTCTTCAGATTCCCTACTCCATTTAACACCCACCTCCCTTCAGCCAGCCTCAGAACACAATGCCAGACCATACCCCAGAGCCAAAGGCCCAGGTGACAGCCTCACGTGCAGAATTAAAAATGCCCACGCTGGGGGCACCCGGCTGGCTCAGTCGGTAGAGCATGCGACTCTTGATCTCCGGGTTGTGAGTTTGAGACCCACGTTGGGCGTAGAGATCACCTAAAAAAAAAAATGCCCAGGCTGCCCTGGCCATCCCTAGCCTCTGCTTCCCAGGCAGGCCTGGCCCCGGGGCCTTTGCGCCCGCCAGCCCTCACTGGGACCAGCTCCCTGCCTCTCCCAGGTACTTGGCACCTCCCTGGGCCCTCTGCAGGTCTCAAGGTCTCCAGATAAAGATGAGTCTCTCTGCTGGTGGCCTTGTGTTAAGAGGGTTCCCTGACCCCTCACCCCATGTGGCTACAATCAGGTTGTGAGTTTTTCTCCTCCCCCAGATGTGGGTCCCCCGAAGTCAGTGGTCCCTCTGGCCTCATTTGGGGTTCAGCTCCTGGCTTGTTCTTGTTGGACAGATGAAGGCATGATCCGGTAACTAATGGCTGCACAGAGTTGAGGTCCCAAGGGCCGCCTCTGGAACCAGACCCCACTGCCCCTCTCCTGGCCCTCCTCGGCCCTTCCCACACGAACCCAGCATCCAGTCCGCGCTCGCCCTCTGCTGGCCTCCGCCGGAAATGCCGGCCGGGCCCTGAAGGCAGCACGCACCAGCTCTCTGCAGGGACTTTGCTCTGACTGCCTCACTTCAAACCTGCAAACCGTGCGGTGGCTTTGCTCACACTCGGACCCGCCAAGCTAATCGCCTGGCCAAGGTCCACAGCCCCGTGTCTGGGAGGCTCCAAGTGGCCCTCCGAGTGTCTCTCCTCCACCCTGCCATGGCGGGCTCTCCTGGGTCCACCACTGCTGCCCTGTGCCATGGGGCTCCCACCTGTTTGGCTTTAACCCTGGTCCAGGACCCCAGCATCCTTCAGCCCAACTGGGACCTCCGACCCTGGTCCTACCACCTGTCCACCGTCCGTCCTAGCTTCCCCAGACCCCAGGCCACACCCATCAGCCCCCCCCCCCCCTCCAGCCCCCTGGCCTCCCTTCTCTCCCAGTGACCATCCGCGGATGCCCTGCTCCTGGCTTGATCTCGGGGGTCCTACTTCTGAAGCTGACCGGGGCTGAAGTGCCCAGTCCAGTCTCCCGTGCTCCCTCCTGGGGTGACAGCCCTGCTTTCTCCCGCACAGGGGCCTTTCCCGTCCTCACTGATGGCTAGATGGACGGATCCTTCTAAGTCCAAACAGCACGAGGTATATTCAGGGACGACAGTGGCCAGAAAACAAAGCAGCAAAAATGTTCTTTGTCTGACCTTCACATACAGAATTGTGCCAGCAAAAAAAAAAAAAAAGAAAGAAAGAAAAAAAAAAAGGAAATACATTCAATAGAAAGTACAAAAAAGGAAAAAATAATGGATTAAAATTTTCTTTACTTTGTTGTATTTTTTCAAAAACAAGGGAATACTTGTACCCACATGTAAGTTTTTCACAGTAGTGAGTATTATAGCCCAGTCTCTGTTTTTAAGGCTCAGTGTCTGCAAACTTGACGATTTTGTCATGATCGATCCTTTTCTCCTTGTCGTGATCAGTACACAACCAGCCATATTTGCCCATCTATTTTTGCTCATTGCTGGTAAAAGAACACTTTTTATTGATCTTAATTTCGGTAATTTCCTTTCACTTGCAGCCCCAGATTAGGGATGACTTTAAGCAGCATACATTTGGTAGGAGTCCCAAAAATGCCACTTCCGCTACATTCTAGAAATTGTGATTCGGTCCATGTCTCAGTGTGACCAAAGCCAATCCTCATGGCTTCCAGACGTCTCAGCAGCTGGACAGTAACTCAAGCACTGTCACTGCACTGATGTAGTCTCTTTTGGGTTTTTTTATTCTTATTTTTATTTTTTTTTTAAGATTTTTTGGGGGCGCCTGGGTGGCTCAGTCGTTAAGCGTTGGCCTTCGGCTCAGGTCATGATCCCAGGGTCGCTGTGTCTCTCTCTCTGTCAAATAAATAAATAAAATCTTTTAAAAATGAGAGAGCATGAGTGGGAGGGAAGGGCAGAGGGAGAGGGAGAAACAGACTCCCCGCTGAGCAGGGAGCCCGATGCAGGACTCGATCCCAGGACCCCGGGATCATGACCTGAGCCGAAGGCAGATGTTCCACTGACTGAGCCACCCAGGCGCCCCTGAAAAGGAATTTAAAAACAGAAACAAGAACATTAGTCTCAGTGACGGACTCTAACATCTTAGCGACAGGGGTTCCTGGGAGTGAAAGCCGACAAGAGAGGGCAAGACGTTATCAAAGAAATAGCACAAGAAAATATCCCCAAACTGAAGGGTGCTATTTTCTAAACTTAGAGGGCCCAAAGTTCTGAGCAAATGATTGGGTTAGAAAGCCACATCATGAAATTCTACCCCTATTCATAGGAGCTAATGGGGGAAGCAGGCCCTGTCCATGGATGGACAGATGAACAGAATGCGGAAAGTCCATGCGACGGAATAGTATTCACCCATAAAAAGGAAGGAGGGTCTGGCACCTGCTGTAAAACCTATGAGCCTTGAGGACACGCTGAGAGAGCCAGTTACAACAGGGCAGATACTGTAGGATTCCACTCACTGGAGGTCCCTAGAGGAGCTGAAATCGCAGAAGGTAGGATGGTGGTTGCCAAGGGCTTGGGTGGAGGGTGTGCAGGATGGGAAGTTAGTGAAGGGAGACAGAGCTTCAATTCTACAAAAGGAAGGCATGGTGATGGAGGATGGGGATGGTTTCACAACAGCCTGGGTGCATCTAATACTACTTAATTGCATGCTCAAAAATAGTGAAGACGGTGATTTTATGTTAAGTGTTATTTTACCACAGTAACAAATAATGCTTTGGAGGGGGAAGGGCTCCCACCAAGGCCGGACTGCCAGGAAATGGAATCACGGAAACACCTTACCGTCTGTCTGCCACCAAAACCGTGCGTAGTCCCTAAATGTGTGAAAAATCCCTCCTTCGTGAGCTACGCAGATGCTCACATTTATTAGATTTTACTAGACAGTTCTTGTTTTTTTAAGATTTTATTTGAGAGAGACACAGCGAGAGGGAACACGAGCAGGGGGAGTGGGAGAGGGAGAAGCAGGCTTCCCGCCAAGCAGGGAGCCCGATGCGGGGCTCGATCCCAGGACCCTGGCATCATGACCTGAGCCGAAGGCAGACGCTTAATGACTGAGCCACCCAGGCGCTCCTAGACAGTTTTTAGTTGATAACATTGAATGCTAGCTTTTCATTAGGGATACAACATTTAAGCTTTATCTCAGAAATACAGAAATCACTGGTTTTTTGGTCTTCCAGAAGGCTTTAGAACGGTTTTCTCGTCTCCACGTGTGAAGGTGAACGGGTAACACCGGTACACTGCCCGCTGTCAACGACGCACAAAGAATATGGACGGCGTGCCAGGCCTCCTAGAGCTGGTTCTCTGTGACACCTGCTGCAGGTCCGCGCCCGAGGCTACTCGTCCCTGGGCACTGAGGAAACGGGAAGCACCCAGAGCCAGGAGAGGGTGTGCACAGGTGAGCCTAGGTGTTGGGGGGCTACAGACACCTGCATCACCCGTGTTCTGGTCAGAGAGTGTGCCACAAGGACAGAGGCACCATGAGTCTCTGCGGCCTCAGGCCTGGGCTCCTGACCAAAGGCTAGATGGCAGATGCCTGCATGGACAGAGGACACCGAAGTCTAAGAGAACAGGTTCTCTGGGTCTGAGCCAAGCAGGGCAGTTGCAACACCATGGAGCTGACGCAACGTCCCTTGCCGAGATCCCAGCAGTGGGTTCACACGGCCAAATGTCGGTGAAATTTGTGGACTTATTATTATTTTTTTTTAGATTTTATTTATTTATTTGAGAGAGAGAATTAGAGACAGAGAGCACGAGAGGGAAGAGGGTCAGAGGGAGAAGCAGACTCCCTGCCAAGCAAGGAGCCCGATGCGGGACTCGATCCCGGGACTCCAGGATCATGACCTGAGCTGAAGGCAGTCGCTCAACCAACTGAGCCACCCACGCGCCCGAAATTTGTGGACTTATTTTAACCACAATTGGTTGAAACCACTGCCTCTTTCCAGATGGGCTGTTCCTTTATCCCTCTTTCTGGCGCCCACTGGAGTGACCACAAGCGCTTTTGGGAACCCACTAAGGCAACCTTGAGTTGGGATGCACTTAGCTGGGGTTTATGGGATATTTTTATGACGTTCGGTCTTGCTTGCCTTTCCTGGGGTGGGTAGGTCTTCTATGGCCACGAATTACCCACCTGCATAGCGTAAGCATGTGGAAGTGAAGAAGAAACAAGACTTGTGATATGAACCAGAAATGAATCTGCAAGTTGGGAGCATAGGGCTTGGCTCTCCCCAACACTTGTCTCCTCTGATAAATGGTTTCATAAAGCAGAATATACAATTTAATACACCATATACCTTTTTTCTTTTTGGATGGGGATTGCATTGATCAGAATTCCCGTGTTTGTGGAGCACAGACCTGTAGGAGCATCTATGCAAAGCCCCAAGTGTTACCCAAGAACATCAATACCAACAAATACAAATTCTATCAAACGCCTTAGGGAGATGTCTGAATAGTCCTGTTTTTTCATAAAACAATTCTGCAAAGTCATGATGTGGCGCTCAAAGAGAATACAGCCAAAAATGTGAGCAAAAGTATTAAACAGATGCACTTGTTAATTCATACAAATGTTATTTTTCCCCAAATTTTGTGATGCTTGTGGGGTTTGTCAGCTTTTTAAAAACGTACTGACATTTCTTTTTACATATTACCATAAAATAACTGTGAAATATGACCGTGTTGTAAAATAAAGCGTTTTTAACGTTATACAAACTGTACACATTATACAAAAATGTTAACTTTCGTAACTAACCTTATTTTTACCGTTTTACATTTTTTTCTTAAAGCGCCCTTCCCCGAATCGCATATGCTTGAGGCCCCACCAAACCCGCACCCACCCTTGCCCCCAACATCTGTGCAGCACGTGACCACGACTGAAGCGACACCGAGCTTCAGGTCGCGCGCAGGGTGGCAAACGGAGCACGAGAGAGAAACGGAGTCCAAGTCCAGGGAGGCTCCTCCGCCGCCCCTTCCGCCGGGACCGGGAAGGCGCCGCTCCGACCCGGGGCCCCACGGTGCGGGCCCGCCAGTGCCGCGCGGCGGCCGGGGCTCCGGCGGTCGGGTCCTCGGGGCGCGCCCCCGGCGCCCTCCCCCGAGCACGCAGCCCCTCCCACCCGCGCCCTCTCCCCTGCGCGGCCCTGCGCGGCCCTCACCGCACCCCCCTCCTCCTGGGGCCCCCGGCCCCCTCCCCCCTCCTTGCGCCCCCTCCCAAGGCCCCTCCCCACTCCCCCTCCTCCTGGGGCCCCCGGCCCCCCTCCCCCCTCCTTGCGCCCCCTCCCAAGGCCCCTCCCCACTCCCCCTCCTCCTGGGGCCCCCGGCCCCCTCCCCCCTCCTTGCGCCCCCTCCCAAGGCCCCTCCCCACTCCCCCTCCTCCTGGGGCCCCCGGCCCCCCTCCCCCCTCCTTGCGCCCCCTCCCAAGGCCCCTCCCCACTCCCCCTCCTCCTGGGGCCCCCGGCCCCCCTCCCCCCTCCTTGCGCCCCCTCCCAAGGCCCCTCCCCACTCCCCCTCCTCCTGGGGCCCCCGGCCCCCCTCCCCCCTCCTTGCGCCCCCTCCCAAGGCCCCTCCCCACTCCCCCTCCTCCTGGGGCCCCCGGCCCCCTCCCCCCTCCTTGCGCCCCCTCCCAAGGCCCCTCCCCACTCCCCGTCCTCCGAGGGCCCCCGACCCGCCGCGGCCTTCCCCGCCGGCTCCCCGCGTGCGCCCCCTCCGCGCCCCGGCCGCGCACGGCCCTGACGTCTCCCGCCCACGGCGCGCGCCGCCCGGCGTTCGCTTGGACGAGCCGGGCGCGGATTGGCCCCGAGCCGCGGGAAGTGCCCGCCCCCCCGGGCCGCCGGCCAATGGGGAGGGGGGGCGGGCCGGCGGCCGGCGCCGGAAGCGGCCGAGCGACGAGGGGACGTCGCGTCGCCGGGTCTCGAGCAGCTGCCGCGGAGCCGCCGGACGGACCGCCGGACCTGCCTGCCCGCCATGGCCGAGAGCGACTGGGACACGGTGACGGTGCTGCGCAAGAAGGGCCCCACGGCCGCCCAGGCCAAGTCCAAGCAGGTGCGGCGCCGTGCGGGCCCCGGCCTCGGGGCGGCCGGGCGGGCGGGGGCCGCGGGGCGGGGCCGCGGGGCGGGGCGGGGCTGTGGCCGGGGGTGCGCGCGGGGGCTGGGGGCCGGGCGGGGCCGGGGTCCGCGGAGGGGTCCTGGGATGAGGGTGGGAAGCGGGGCTGGGTGGGCCAGGGGCCGGGGGACCAGCCAGGGGCCTGAGTGAGGGTGTGGCGCCAGGGATGGGAGACAGGAGACCCGGGCGAGGAAAATGGCCGAGCGGGGACAGTGTGCGACAGAGGTAGGCTGGGGGAGAGGGCCAGGGACCAGGGAGAGGGAGGGGCCGCGCGGGGTGCCGCGAGGACGGCGGGAGGAAAGTGGTGGGGGCGTGGACCGGCCGCGCCAGGATGGGGCCAGCGATGCAGGCCTGGCAGGGAGGCCTAGGTAAGGCCCAGGTCGGAGAGGCTCTGAATGGGGACAGGGTGGACTTGTGGCCAATGACAGCGGGGATGGGGCAAGCAGGGGCCCAGGGGAGGTTGAGGGGGAGGACCTCAGAGGGAAGGCGCTGCAAGGCAGTATGGGCACGCCCAAGGTCTCCTGCGCTGGTGCCTGGCCGGTCTGCAGCTGGCTCTGGAGCGTCACTGAGGCCCGTTTGGGGTTTTAGGCGTTCCCTGTCCCTGCGCCAAGTGGCCTGGAGACCCAGGGCACAGGTGGACTCTGCTTCTGGGTCGTTGGAGTGTGGTTGACATGCCTTGAGAGGGACAGAAGGTTCGTAGCTTGGCTAACCTGTCCACAGTTCACGTGTGAGTCCAGTGTAAGTGTGGAGGGGCGGGTCAGTGACCACCCCTGCTAAGTTTCTACCCTCAGGAGGCCTTGGGCCTGCGGGTCTGGGCCAGGACTAGCTGCAGCCCCAGAGACGGGCATTCACTGACCTGCCCTGAGCTGCTCACTTGCAGGGTTAGAACCCAATTCACTGTCCTTTTTTCCCCAAGGAAACTTGGCAGTTACAAGCTAGGAGTCGAGTGAACACACATAGAAAGCGTCTTTGGACATAGCACCTTTAGCTCGGCCCCAGTCTCTTTTCTGAGGCGTTGGAATCGTCGAGAAATACATCTTACTAACGTTTGGCAGATAGAGGGCACAGGGTGTTGGTCTGGTTGGCGATGTTTGGGGGTGTGGGTGTGGCTCTGTGCAGGAGTGGATCTGTCGTCAGCATGGGTTTCTCAGCGGCGAAGAAGCGGGCTGGGTTTTCCCGCGTAGCGCCTCGTGGACAGGTGCCTGGGTATTTGGTGGCAGAGGGTTTTGCGTACTGAGCTTGGGTTTTATTTTTTTATTTTTATTTTTTTTTAAAGATTTTATTTATTTATTCATGAGAGAGAGAGAGAGAGAGGCAGAGGGAGAAGCAGGGAGCCCGATGCGGGACTCGATCCCGGGACCCTGGGATCGTGACCTGAGCTGAAGGCAGATGCTTAACCGACTGAGCCACCCAGGTGTCCCGAGCTTGGGTTTTAGGCTTGGCCTCACTTGTCTGTCTTGGACAGAGCTTCAGGGCACGAGCTCTGGGCCAGGCCACCTGGGCTGCAGAGGCCCCGATGTTCGCAGCGTACTGACCAGCTGACAGCAGCCTGCAGGGGTGTCTGCAGGCGCTGCCGGATCTGATTTTGACCAGAAACTGTGTTCACGTTTTCTAGGCCATCTTAGCAGCTCAGAGACGAGGAGAGGATGTGGAGACTTCCAAGAAATGTGAGTAGTCATGCTTCCTCACAAAACAGCCGTGTGCTTTCGGGTTCTCTCTGCAGCAGGCAAGAGCACGCGCACCGTGCCCCGGGGTGTGTCGGGACGGCTGTCGGCGGCGGCCTTCCTGGGCGTAGTCAGGAGGGAACTGACTGGAAGATTTAGTGCCCCATGCTCGTAAGCCCATGGGGTTCCCTGTGTTTTGGACGCCTGGCTTCCCGGGTCACCCTGGCACAGGGCGCCTGTTGGGCCTGGTTCGCATTCTGAAATGGCTCTCTTTTGGTTTGTGGCAAACCCTGTACTGTGCTTTTGCCTCGTGCCGGTCCAGGGGCTGCTGGCCAGAACAAACAGCATTCGATCACCAAGAACACGGCCAAGCTGGACCGGGAGACTGAGGAGCTGCACCATGACCGGGTGACCCTGGAGGTGGGCAAGGTGATCCAGCAGGGCCGGCAGAGCAAGGGGCTGACTCAGAAGGACTTGGCAACGGTGAGCATGGCGGGTCCCTTCCTCCCAGGCTGCGGTCGGGCAGGCGGGAGGTCGGTGTTCAGAAGGCACCGCAGCCCAGCTTGGGGAGGCTTCTGTTTGCCCTTGGCCTTGGCATTCTCTGGGGAAGCCGTATCAGGCCAGCTGTCACTTCCTCGTGAGTGTGACGTGGCTTCTGTCGTGTGGAGACCCCAGGGCCTCTGAGGGCTGCCCCCGTCAGGCCCTTGGCCCGCGTGTTGTCCCGGAATGTGGTGACTCCCTCAGCTCTGTGCTAGTTTTGTGGCCTGCTCTTACTGAACTGTCGTGCGCAAAATACATCTCTAGAAAATCAACGAAAAGCCGCAAGTCATTGCAGACTACGAGAGCGGACGGGCCATTCCCAATAACCAGGTTCTGGGCAAAATCGAGAGAGCTATCGGTGAGTGTCCTGTAGCCTTTATCGGGTCTCCACTGCTGCCTCCTGACCAGCTGCAGGGCAGCTACCGAGCACAGGCAGGCCCCCGAGGTCGCAGAATTCTCCAGGCCCTTAAGAGACTCCTGAGTGCATTGCCTGAGTGTCGTCCGCTTCCCCACCCTGGTTCTCACGTCTCCTCTGTCCCCCCCTTTGTTGCTGGCCGGCGCCCTTTGAGCCCATGGACAAAGGGCTCGGTGGCCCTCCCCTGGTGGCAGTGAGGCACCCAGCACATGGAGCTCCTGGAGCGCTGGAGCCCGAGTTCTGGGAGGGGCTACCCTGGAAGGTTAGCAGGTGCACTGACAGTGGGCTGAGCCCAGCCAGGACTGGTGGGGGGCAGTCCTCGGCCCCCTGCTCTCCCCGCCGCTCCTTCCTGTGGAGGAAGGGAGATGATGGGTGGGGGCGCCGTGGCACCGAGCTGCCTCTCGGTCCCGGAGGGGCCGCTGTGGCGATGAGTGGGCCAATGGCTCTTTCAGGCCTCAAGCTCCGGGGGAAGGATATCGGGAAGCCGATTGAGAAGGGGCCAAGGGCGAAATGAACACAAAGCCTCGAAATCAGTGCGTTCCGGCTGATCTCGTCTGGCTGGTTCCCCTTGACCACCAGCGCCAGCGTGGGTCTCTTCACGCGGCCGAGCGGAACGCGGGGCATTAGCCCTGCCCAGGAACCCCCTCAACCCATACCTGCTGTCAAACAAACGAAACCTTGCAAAGTATTGCTTCTCCTGATCTTTTTTCCTTCCCATCCCCGGTGTCTGCCCAGTCTCAGGGTGGCTCCCCGGGGAGCTCTGAGTGGGACCACCTCACGCTGGCGGGGCTGTGGGGTGGGGCGGCCTGATCGGAAGAGAAGATGCCGTCTTCAGTCCGGCTTTTAGAGAAGCCAATAAACGATTGTTGTCCTTCCTGCTGGCGGAGAGTCATTGCTGTCCAGCGCGGTCTGTTACGCCCCCAGCGCGCCTCTCTGGCCCACAGAGTAGGGAAGACACGGTTTTCGCGACATGCCCCGGGGTGCCTGAGGGACCGGGAAGGTCACCTCTGCAGCGCTGCGTCCTTGTTCCCGGCTGCTGGGACAGACAAGGGCGTGGGCCTCTGGGCTCCAGACCCATGTGCTCCCCTGGCTTGCAGTCTCCAGTGGGCCGGGATGGCAAGGCGGGGGAGCCTCCCTGCAGGCAGGAGGGGAGCACCTGGCTGTGTGGGTGTGGATGTCACCTGCCCCCTCCCCAGGACAGCATG